ATTGACCAATAGGAATTTGGTAAATAATCAATACCCTGTAAAAAAAAATACACTTTGTTTTCTTTAGTTTAGAGAAACAAAAAAAAGCAAAGGTAGAAAAATGATGTTTAGATTATTCGAGATGAATTTATTAGAATCTAAAATATAATATTTTGTTTTAGATTATCATTAAATCAGTTTTTATAGAGAAGAATATTTGAACGAAAATAATATTAATAAATAAAATGTCGTTCGTTGTTAAAGCCAGTGGAATTTTACAACAGCCAGCAGCCGCTGCTCTTCTCTGGTATGAATTTATTTTCAGGATTTGTTTTTTGTCATATTAATTTGATTGTTTTAGGGATGCCACATCCGTTCGTAATATGGCAACTCTTAAAGACAGTAAGATTTTTTTGTTATTGTTGACAGAATTTTATTCTATATATTTTAATTTTTTAGTCAGTCGTCGTTTGAAATCGGTAAAAAGTATTCAAAAAATCACAAAATCAATGAAAATGGTTTCAGCAGCTAAATATGCCAAAGCTGAAAGAGAGTTACGTGCTGCTCGTTCATATGGAGTTAGCGCAAAAGGTTTAGAAAATTATAGTTAATTATAATTCCTAATATATATATATTATTTTTTAGCTTTCTATGACAATTTGGAAGTCGAAAAAAGTGAAGGTCCTCAAAAACATTTATATATTGCTGCAACATCTGATCGTGGTCTTTGTGGTGCCGCTAATTCATCGATTATAAAAAATATTCGTAATCAGATGGTTGAAGATAAATCAACAGCAGAATCAACAAAAGTAATTGCTATTGGAGATAAATCCCGTGCTGGTCTTGCTCGAACACATGCACCAAATTTACTTTTATCTGTTAATGAAATTGGTAAACGACCAATTGTTTTTGGAGATGCATCAGCTATTGCCCAACAATTAATGAGTTCCGGTTTTGAATTTGATACAGCTGATATTGTTTATAATAAATTCAAATCAGCTATTGCTTATACAACATCACGTCAAAAAGTTTTATCCAGTGAGGCAATTCAACGTTCAAAATCAATTCAAGTTTATGATTCAACAGATGCTGATGTTCTTCGTTCATTTCAAGAATTTAATTTAGCATCTGTTCTTTTTTATGCAATGAAAGAAAATGCAACAGCTGAACAATCATCACGTATGACAGCTATGGATAATGCAACAAAGAATGCTGGAGAATTAATCAATAAATTAACAACATATTATAACAGAACACGTCAATCAGTTATTACAACTGAACTTATTGAAATTATTTCAGGAGCTGCTGCTTTGGAACAAAAAAATTAACGAAATTTATTTTCATCACTTTAAAGAACAGACCTATTTTTTTCTTCGTCTCTTTTAGTAGTCTATATTTCATAAGCACACTTATATCCTCCCATTTTTTCTTTGGTTTAACACAATAAAATCGTCTAGGTATTTCATTCGATTTTAGTTTTCAGATGTCGAATGAAGAAAAACAACAAGATACACAAGAAGCACCAGTAACACCATGGAATTTAGCTATTTACTATCGACGCATTTTTCCATCACATATTTATTGTAAATGGCTTGCTTATGGAGAACGTAAGTCAAGAATTTATATGAAACAATTGGCCATTCCATTGGTGGAATTAAATCATTCAGTTTTCTAGAATTTTATACATAACACAGAGGGAAAGTGAGCCAAGATCAAAGAAAAATATTTCGATGAATGATCTATTTTAATTATTCAATTATAACATACATAATATGAGATTTATTACATAAAGTTGATATTGATTTAGATGGTCATTCGTCGAAAAATCAAACAAGAAAATTTGTATAAAAGTCAACTATAATTCTGACGTATATCAAAGAAATCTATTTAACTATCAGTATTTGTCTTTCGATTTCCTAGTAGTTTAAAATCAAAATTATTTCGATAGGATAATCGATTTCTATGATTAATCAATTGCCATTGCCCACAGATCTCTCTTACACTTGTATCGATAATCAATAAATAAAATATGTATAAATCTAACTTTTGAAATTTGTTTCAGCTGCTGCATGTCCTCAATTTTCACAACGTGAATTTAGTTTTACACTTGAAAATGATGTTTATCGTCGTTATCTTTCATTTTCTAATCATATTGAATTTGAAAAAGAATTAATTAAAATGTGTCCAGAAAAAATTGATATTGGTGCTGTTTATTCAGCTAAAGTAATATTATATTTCATTTTTTCTTCTATTATTATTATTGTTATTCATATAGCCCAAAGATCATAAAATGCTTTCTACTGCACAATTTTATCCAATTGAACGTGAACTTGTATTTGATATTGATATGACAGATTATGATGATGTTCGATTTTGTTGTCGGTAAAGAATTGAATTAATCAATAAAAAATAAGAAAAAATCTTTTTGTTTCTAAAGTGGTGCCGATATTTGTTCGAAATGTTGGACATTAATGAGATTTGCTATGCAAATCATCGATCGTGTATTGCATGGTTAGTATTGATTTTATTGAAATATAAAAAGAAAAATTTTTTATTTTAAAGAGGATTTTGGATTTGAACATCGTTTATGGATTTATTCCGGTCGACGTGGTGTTCATTGTTGGGTTAGTGATCAAACAGCTAGAGAATTACAATCAAGTACTCGTCAAGCTATTGTTGAACATATAACAGTTATTAATGTATGAAAGTTTGTATAAAATTTAAATTCTTATTTTTATTTTATATGTTTAGGCTGGAAAAGATTCATCGAAACGTGTTACACTTTATACACCATTACATCCATCACTTCAGTAAATTCAAAGATTAGAAATTTTATTTGATTTTAATTTATTAATTTAGACATGCACGTGAAATAATTTTAACTGAATTTGATGGATATGCATGTTTAGAACAAGATTTTCTTGGAGATGATCAACGTATCGAACGATTTCTTCGACTTGTTCCTGATGATAATATCCTTTTCTATATTTTCAAATTGAGTATACAGTATAAAAATGAATTGTCGAGTCTCTCGAGTGTTCTAACTATTGTTTAAAAGTGTTCCGGCATTTCTTTTGAGTTATGAAATACTTGAGTTTTGAATTGAATTGATATTATTTTATTTTCCTTAATAATAATTCTTATTTTTAACGTCGTCAAACATTACGTGAAATATTTTCTGAATTAACAACATCAGCAGAACGTTGGGCTGCTTTTAAACAACATACAGATGGAATGATTAATTCAGTAACAGCTACGAATAAAGTATAGAACAATTATTGATTTTTATTTTAATTTTAAAAACAAATTTTTTTATTTTTATAAATTAGTTTCGTAAAGCTGCTTATACAACATTAATTGATGAAATAATGTTTGAATATTGTTATCCACGTCTTGATGCCAATGTAACAAAAGGAATGAATCATTTACTTAAATCACCATTTAGTATTCATCCGAAAACTGGTCGTGTATCAATACCAATTGCATCAGATGCTTTACCTTATTTTGATCCATGTAAAGAAGGTTCAGTACCAAAATTAAGTGAATTATGTCAACAAGTTGAACAATTACCAAAACAAAATGAAGATATTGAAAATGGAAAAACAAATATTAAACAAAAAGGTTATTTTGAAATCAAAATTCAATTTTTATTTAAAAATATTTTCTTTATTAGATTTTAATCAAACAGCATTGAAACCATTTATTGATATATTTTCTCGTTTTGTTCAACGTTCACAAACGAGTAAACAAGATGAAACATTAGCTAAAAGTGGTTAGTTATTTCTTACATCATCTCTTTTTTCTTTTCTTATTAAATTTATTTTAGATTTTAATACAATGTTATCAGGTGAAATTTAATCAAAAATGTCAGATGTTTATATGTTAAAATTCTTGATCAATTATCAGATATATATATTTTCTTCTCTACTCTCTATTTTTGTTATTATGATTAGATATTAAGAAATAAAAAATATAATTAATTAAATTATTGATTTGTCTGGCGGCGCCCATCTCAAATTTCATTTCGCCCACCCAAAAAATGAAACAAAACAGAATTTATGATCTTAGAACTTTACAATTTCGTTTTATTTTTAAAAGTCAATGATAATGTTGAACATTAGAACAAAAAAAAAAGATGAGAATTTATTTCGATGAACAAAAAATAAATTAGACTTTTAGTTTTTTTGTGCAATTAGTCTTCCATTCTAATAACTCACATTTTCAAGTATCCTGTAGTGTCATTAGCATGCATTTATATTTTACCTTGTTATCTTTTGTATTTCAGTAAACAAGGTCATTTTTATTTGTTTAGAAAAACGCGAGTTCAAATAAATTAAATATTCAGTTTTATCTCTGATGTAGATGAACATAATTAATACACACGAATAATAATAGATGTTATAATATTATTAATAATTGAAGGATTTTGTTTAACTAATTTAAATATAAATAATAGAGAAATTTAGCAGCCTGGATAAGTTTAATACATACGAAAATTACTAATTGTATTTGAAAAATGTTGTTTGTTGGATTTTTCATAATAAAATATGAAATAAAACATTTTGCATATGTTCAGAATATTAATTTATAGAAAGAAAACGATTTGAAGTCAATTTACAAGATAATTAATTAAAATCGATGATGAGGATAATCATTAGCATCACTTGAACAACGAGGACGACCAATCATGGTTTTATCATTATTTATTTGTGTATCACTTTCAGATTCGATTTGTTTTTTTAACTAAAAAGAAAATATGGATTATTCTATGTAATTAGAGATGAAAAATAAATATTTTGACATAATGTCAGTTCTACTTACCCTTGATGGAACAGCATTTTCATCTAATGAAGCTGTTTTAATAAGTGTAGTAGTAAATAATCTTTCAACAACTGTTGTTAATGGTGGACTACTTGCAGAACGTGGACGAAGTAAATTTTGATCCATTCCAACTTCTAAACATTTTTGTAATCGACATGCTCGACATGGTGGTAATGATGCCGAAAAATATCTTCGTGTTGCTTCTATATTACATGTTCCATTTTGATTACATTTTAATGTCTAAGAAGACAAAAGAAAATTTATTTAGTTACAAATTAAAACTAATCTTTTTATTCGACTAACATTTGATGGTAAAAAAGCGTGACGTCGAAAAAATGATTTACATGGTAAACATGTTCGAATACCAGAATTATTTCCGTAAACACAAGCACCACAAACAGCACAATCAAATGGAGAAGTTGATGTTTGTTGATGTTCTTGCCACATATATGAAAAATAAATTCTCGAAGCAAAAAAAAGGACCAAACCTTTTTTTTCTTCTTCTTCTTTATTTCAATTAAAAACATTTTATATTCTCGCTCAGTTTCTTTCTTTTTTTTTCCTTCATAGAGTTAGTCTATTATTAACACCATTTTTCTCTTCAATTAATGTCATATTATTCAATACTCTTTAGACTATTATCATCTAAGCGTGATTGCATTTGTCAACATAATTAATTTTTTTTACGGACATCTTTTACTTTTTTTCTTTTTTTGTTATTTTATCTTACTATATATCAAGAACTGTCGTCTGCCTAGTTTAATAAATAACTACTGATGCATGCTTTATCAAAAGAATGATACTATTTAAACGACGCAGAAACATCGCGACTATATTAAAAATAGAATAATAACACGTTCTTTTTTAAATTAGACCTTTTTTTAATATATTGACGCAAATCATTTATGTGATTTGAGAACAAAAAAACATGATGTAGAAATCAATATAAAGCATGTAGATTTTATGATGATTAAATATTTAGAAAATAGTTCTTAGATTTACTCAATCATCTTTCTTGATAATATCGATATGATTTTCATAGATCTACGAATTATAACTCTTTAATATAAGTCATGTTTGTTACAGACATTTTGAATTTCTTTATTAGTTAATTTTACTTGAGGATTTCAGAATAGAATCGCTCAATTAATAATATAACAGAAATTGATTAAGTATATCTAATAAACAGTTCATCCGTACCACTGTAAATTGTAATATAACAAACTATGAATGAACCAGTAGGTGTTATTTAGCTTAATATTACCACTATGATTTATTATATTAAATAGAATATTTCTATAAAATTCAAGATAATCAATCTCGAATACTAAAAAATTTCTCAAGCAATGATTTCAATGATAACGAGCGAATATATAGATTCAAAAAATCGTAAGTTGTGATTTTAGTATAAATATCCGGAAGCATTGCACTGTTATCATTAAAAGTGAGATCTTTAATTTTATCAGAGAAGTCAGATGCTCCAAATGAATTCTTATCATTAATATTCGAATTCATTTCCTTCTAAAGCTCTATCAACATTATACTAACTGATACATTCATGAGTATACACCAACGAGTATTTCATTCTATATCTTACAAGTACTTCCTCATAAGATCTCTTACTAATTTAGAAATAAAAGTACGATGTAACTTCAAAAGTACTTTCTTTTTTTTTATGAAATATAATTTTCTTTTTACTAAACAAAATACAAACAAGAAAGAAAAAAAACCAATCTGTATCACAAAGCAAATAAAACAAAAGACGGTTGTTTTTTTTCCTCGAGAAAATAAAAGATAAATTTTTTTTCCTTAATTTCTCATTGTTTTTTTTTCATTAATTTCTTCATATAATAATAATTACGTTGTAAAAAAACATATTCATTAAACATTGTTTGACATATATCATCATCAATTAAAGTATTTAATTGAAAGAGTTTTTCATATTCTTCTAATTCTTTTTCATATTCATTCAAAGCAACATATTCAAGTTGAGATTTTATTGAGAGAATTTCGTTTGTTAATGGATAATAACGATATTCAAATTTAATTTGACATAATCGATGAATATAACGAAAAGAAATACATTGACGTACAGCATTATGAATTCGTTTTATTAATTCATCGGATTTACACTAAAATATTTTGATAAATTAATTACAAATTATATTTTTGATATGATATACTTCAATGCATTGATCAATATTGAACGATATTTCATTATCTGTTAATATGTTTTCTAAATTAAATTAAAAAAAAAATCTATAATATTTCATATATCAATTCATTCAAAAAAGCATGATTTTTATATATTAAGACAAATGCCGTGTTCTCTGTAAGTATATGTAGTAATAGCAATATAGGTCATTTTATAATTAATACTCTTGATTTAAGATTAGAAATGTTGACATGACATGCACTTTAAGGAATAAAGCTCATATTTAATATAATTCATTGGAGATATTCTTTGTCAATATGTGTTGGAAAAAACTTTGATAGGGTTTTATATAAATACTTAATTTGGTAATAAAACTTTAAGAATATTACCTTCATCTGCAATAGATGGAGATGATGTTGAAATACATTGAGAATTATTCGATCGATGTTCTGAGATATCATAGAAAAAAACCAATAAAATCTTGTAAGAAAAATAATTCATACCATCAATTATTGGTGGTAAAACATTTTTATCACTTTCTGATGATATAGATGCTATAATAGAAATAAAATATTTATTTATTTTCTTATAGATATATATTTACATATTTCTTCAATTTGTGAATTTATTTCATTATTTGAAATGATATTAATCGATGTCGTTGGGAGTAATGGTTCATCATGTGTACCTTATTTCAAAGAAAAATTACTCATTTAGATTGAAGAAATGAGACACGTACTAAAGGGATTATCAATTGGAGAAGTATTAGTTTTGTTACTAGAGATATCCTTCGAAAGAAAAAAAGAAATTAAAGAAATAATTTATGAAAAAATTACTTGAATTGATTCATTTAAACGGTAATCATCAATATCAAAATGAATAGGTGTTTCGATGAAAGTTTTAGGAGTTGAACAACCATCTGGATCATTATTCAATGTTAATCTTTTTTGAGATAATTCATTATTTGATTGAATATTGATTTGTTCATAATCTAATGGTGGTATCGGTGTGAAAAGAAAGTATGGCTCATAAGTAGATTCTATATTTGGTTTATTGAATTGAGAGAATTGTTGTGGGTCTATGAAAAAATATAATAAAATAATGTTTAATTCAAATTTAATAAATACTAACTAACCAAAAGATCGTTGTAATGAATAATTATTATTACGATGAAAAGGAATCTTAAATTAAATAAAAACTAGATGATTTACACATTGATATCTATATTTATATACCACATTATTTGTGTTAACATTGTTACATGGATCTATGAATAAAAAGAAAACTTCAAAATTTTTAAGAGAAATTTCTAAAAAATACTACAATTAGAAAAAGATTTCGGAAGGAATGGTCGTTGACCATTATTATTATAAACTAAAAAGAAAAAAGTAGAAATAATGTTTAGAGTAAAAGGAAAAAAATACAGTTTGATTGATTCATTTGATTTGAATGCCAATTTTGATTGTATAACTAAAATCAAATGAACTTTTTTATTCATTTTCTATATGTAATCGTTCTTTTTTATTTCTCTTCACAGTATTCATTCTATAAATACTCAACGATATCAGTAGTACGTGAGGAAAAGAAAAAGATATATCATGGCATAACACTATATGTTTATATAATTTACTTGATTTTCATATTCATATTTATCTCGTTGTTCCAATACCATTTTTTGAATATGTGCTGTTGTTTTATCATATACTGGATGAATACGATATGATGTACTATTTTCTTTAAATTCAATTTGAACAACATCAGGCATTGAATTTAATAAAGATAACACTGAATGAAAACCAAGTTCTTTATCTAAACAGGAAAAATATATTTTCAATAAATAATAAAGATGTTTACAAATTAATCTGATCTATATTAAAATGACACTTTTTAATCATCTCATTCAATTGAATATCTATTTGATAATGTAGAAATTTAATTCCAATATAGAAAACATATCATTGATAAAAAAAAGGTGTTAGGACAACCCTTGTGGGTTTAAATTTGGAACACAATATACCTATTGTTGCTGATCTCTTAGAAATCAGTCCTTTTTATGTGCATTGACGTATACTTCGGTATCATTTATTATTTTAGAGTATAGAATTTTAACAAGGAAATAATACATAAATATTTTCGTGTTTCTCACGTCCTATGATGGTTCTGAGATAATGTCCATGGTAAGTAACTAATTAGTTAAATGGTAATGGTTTAATTAGTCCTTAAAAGCCGAATGTCTCTTCCAAGGGACATTGCTATATTCGTAAGAAAAACTGTAATAAGAGCTTATATATGAAAAGTAGTACTTTCTCGAACTAAGAGGATCGGATAGATCATAGAGAGTGAAACAAGTCATTTTCAAGTGGCTGCTAGACAAAACAATAGGTTTTTTTAACGGGTATCGCTTGGTATATTGTCAATCTATTAGAAAAAGATATCCCACAATTTTTTTACCGATCATGCCGCTAAAACTAAATGTCCCTAAACGGGGACATCCCAGCAACAACGAAAAAAAAACTTCTCTTTCTTAGCGGTCAGCTTTTCCTCATTGCCACAGAAACTCCCTTCAGCTTTTAAGGGTTAACGAAAATGTCTGTCGGGGCAATAGGTGCAAATTTGTATCCCTAAGCACTCCTTTTAGATTGTGTTTTACAAAAGATCTTTAAATCGTTTCTAATTAAGATATCGATTAATATTAAACAATCTGAATATGAGTAATTTCCTTTTCTAAAAGATTAGATTTTGTTGTAATGATAATATAATAAATAACTTACATGGTATTTCGTTTCCACAATTTAATTGTTTATAATCGTAATATAATAATGAACCTGTTAATCCTCCATATTTAGTTTTTGGTGAACTAATTAATAATGAACGTATTTCTTGTTTAATAGTTTCATAGAGTTTCTGTTTTTCATTATCTCGCATATTTTCTTTTTACTTTTTTGTTTTCTTTCTGCAAACAAAATAGATCAAAGGATGAATCTCACATCTAGATATATATATATATGTATTTTATTCTTCGTTTTTTTTTTGTTTATATATCTGTTAGTAAAACAAAAGCTTAATTAAATCATAAACGCAAATGTCTAATATATAAAAAAATAAAAATTGTTTCTTCTTCAGGATTTCACAATATGTATAAAAACAACAAACAAACAAACAAAAGGGAAAATTTAAGATAAAAGAATAATAATTTAACAAATTTTTAACAGATAAATACCAAGAAAAACAAATGAAATAACAACAGTGAAAAGAAATATATATGCATCAATTATATGAAATGAATATGTTTTCGATAATGTTGTTGTTGATGTTGATGTACTTATCGATCGATTAAGACGACCAGATGACACTTTTAATAGTGTCTTATCCTAAAATACATTCAAATACATATATATTTTAAAGATAAATTAGAAGAATTAGCTCGTCTAAAGATTCGTTCAACTGATTTTTAATTCTATTAAAAAATATTTACTCTAGTTAATGAACGTTTATTATTTTCATCATTATCATCATCATCCTGAGAAATGATTCTTCGTTGAACTGGTTGATATTGATTTTCACATTTAACAAATGATGAATCTTTGAGTTTTTCCTAAAATGAATAAAATTTAGTATTTTATAGAAAATGGAATATGTAAATAATTACCAATGAAAGGCGAACAGTTGGTAATGGTAAAAATGGATTAGATACAAATTGAATAGCTTCTTCGTTACTCTCCTCTGAATTTATTTGTTTTTCCATTAATGGAATTTGTTCATTTGATTGTGGTGTTTGCTAAAAGAAAAATTATTAGATAAGAATTTATTTGTTTTTGTTCTAATATTATAAAATATACCCAAGCATTGGTATTAAAACGATTCGAATTATTTGGTGTTAATGGACGTTCATTTTGTACATCATCATTTGATGGTTCATTTTCATTTTCATTAACTGATGAAATATTTTGTTCTTGTTCATTCAATGATACATGATGATCCTTAAATTAATAAAAAAGAAAATTTTAATTTCTAAGAAGAAGAAAAAACAACGATTTTCTTACAAAAAAGATATAATCATGAGATGTTACATGTTGATCTTCAAGTGTATTCGTTGAATGATGTTGACGAGAAAAACTTGTACTACCTTCTATTATATAAAATTCTTTATTTAAATAACAAGATGGTTTATTGAATAAAAACATACGTCGTTGTTCTCGTTTTTGTTGTCGAAGCTAAAATATTATTTTGAATTAAAAGAAAAAAGATTTTCTTTTGAAAAATAATTACTTTGACTGCTGAATAAACATAAGCAGGTTCACGACGTAAATCAATTGCAAATAGACGTTGATCACTACTAAGTAAATCAAGTAATGATCGATAACCTAATAAACGATAAGGTATTTCTGCATTTTCATGTCGTTGTCGGTAATAACGAAAAAGTTCAGCTTGAGTTAAATAACCACGTTTCGAACTTGTGATGTATGAATGAAGTTCATTCATTGTTTCACAATAAACACGAGGATCAATGGGCATTAAATGAGTAGGAGATGAAGAAGAAGAAACAGACATTTTTTATTATGAGGAGAGTATTTGACGAAAAAACAATTAAATTAAATGGGAATGAACGAAAGAAAAGAGAGCCAGAATATATTGGGTACTAAATGGATCTTTAGTTTAATTTACCTCTATATCATTAACGAAATTCTTTGTTTCAATCAACTTAATTATTAAGTCAATTCGATACAATAAACTTTTTACAAAAAAAAATTATTTCAAATTTTGATTATAAACAGTCGATAAGATAAATAGATTACTATGTGCGACATCTATCTTAAATATATGTTCAGTATATAAATATTCATTCCTTATAGTTAAAAAACATCTGTTGTAAATTAGAATGAATTTATTTATAAAGAAATATTTTTGTTATATTATAATATAAAAAAGAATGTAGTCTATTCTTCAGGTATGGAATTGAGTTCAACTTCAGTTGGTATTTGATGATCTGAAGAATCTATTTCCGAAGTTGTTAATTTCAAATAAATTTGTTCTCCACTATTTTGAATGAGTTCTGTTAATTCTTTCATAAGTTCGTTTGCCGTTTGTTGTGTAGATTTATTATTTGTTTTATTATCTTGAATTGATATAATAAATTGAATATTAGCCGATGATATTTTAGGATCAAAATATCTTCTATATTTAGTCATTGATGTTACTGAAGGAACTGGTCTTAGTGGTGCAAGTATTCCACTAAATATACTTCTTTTTGTTCCACTTAATCTTGTATTTATAAAATCTTGTTTTTCTTCATGTTCATTATCTGATGATTCGACTACGGATAAAATTTGTTCAGGAAAATATTTTCGTCGATTATAAATACGTTGATAACGATCAACAAGTACTGAAACAAGTATGCTACTTGTAGCAACACCAAAAAAAGCACATGCACAACCAAATACTCGTCCAGTTGCCGTTATAGGATACATATCACCATATCTAGTTTTAAAAGAAATAGAAATTTTTCTAATACTCTAGAAACTGTAATAAATACATACCCAACTGTTGTAATAGTTTGTATTCCCCAATAAGTTGCTTTTGGAATTGAATCAAAGACTAAACCGTTGACATCTTGTTCAACATAATACGTCGCAGCTCCAAATAAAAATCCCATTGTAGTTAATATAACAATCATAATAATAAAATCAACAAATGATTCTTTTAATGTTGTACTAAGTACACGTAAAGATTTTAATTGTCGAAATATTAAATAGATTTTAAATATACGTAAAAATCTTAATATTCGAAAGATTCGTAAACCAGCAAAACTATTACCATTTAAATCTGTTTCTTTCCCAGCTAATACAAGTCCTATAAATATATAATATGGTACAATTGCACCTAAATCAATCCAATTAACAATTGATATGACAAATTTATAATAGGATGGTGTACTAATTAAACGTAAAAGAAATTCAATTGTAAAATAAGATACACATATTGTTTGAATAATAAAAAATGGTGAAGAAAATATTGCATAACATATTGGATGTTCAGTTGTTAATATTGTTGTATTTTCTTCTTTTGCACATCGACTATTCCATTTATCATCATAGGATGGTAAACTTTCAACAGCTAATTCAATAGATGATAAAATAGTTAATAACATTGAAAGAAAATAAAGAATTTTAGCAACTAATGAATGTTGAGGATATTCTAAATAAAACCAAATATATCGACGCCATGCTAAATTTGGTAAATCAATATATTTAACGATAGATACGTTTTCTAATTTATTTATTTGTGAAATTGCATGTTGACCTAAATCAAAAAATGAAACTTCTTCTAAAAATGTATCTAATGGAACATAATCTGGTCTTCGTAAACGTCCATTCGATTGATAATAATAAAGTATGGCTTCAAAACAATCACGATGACGATCAAAAAAATATTCATTTTTTTCTTCATTCCAATAATATTTTCGTTTTCGTTTATTACCCAATAATGTATTAGGATAATTTTCAAGTGTAGATAAATGTGTTTGATAACGATTACCACTAACATTAATTGTTATGATATTACGTTGTTTATTAATTTTATTTTTTTCTGATGTTAAACGATGATCATGTGGTGCAACATGAATTAAACTTTCACCATTACGAGGTAGAATTTTACTATAATATAAGAAGAAAAATTTAATTTTATAATTGAAGAAGATAATGCAAAAAAAATATTACTTGATAGAAGTTCGTCGATGATTTAATGAAATTGGAGCACTATTTCGTCGTTTAGAAATATTATGTTTTAAACTAAAATAAAACTGAAAATAAATTGTATCTATTTCTATAGAGTTTCAAACTGACCGATGCATTTTATATCCAGGATTATTTTGTTTCGATAATGAAGATTGAACAGTATCATCATTCATATTACTAGACTGATTTTGATCAATATTCGTGTGACTATTCATTTTTATAATGATTATTATATATAGATATATAATACTCACGGTGATAAATGAAGAAAGATACAGAGAGAAAGGAAGGAAAAAAACAAGCGATATATACAAGGTTTATCCATCATATAAATAATATATGAATGAAACAAATGTCAAAAAAATAATTCATTGAACCGTTTACGATATTTTTATACATTAAATAATGAATCAAATGAATAAATTTATATTATTCATATTCGATTTTTATTCTAAAATGAAAAGTGCATTTAATTAGAAATTTATAGTAAAGTATACAATATTGCATTAATGTCCATTTATTAATTATACTTAATACCTTTTTAATTCATTTATCATATTTAAACTAGTTTTTTTTCTTTTTCTCTATTTTTACTTATTTATAATGTATTATTTGTATTTGGCAAGGACTTTGTCCATATTTATCTGTTATTCATAACATGTAACTGCCTTCTTCGAGACAATTATTATTTAAATTGAATCAAAGCTGATATTATATAAATAATGTCTTTGACAATATAATAATATAAGATAGAAGAAAATTTATTTATTTTAAACTGTTCACATGATATTACATTTATTTTAACAAGTAAAACTCTTAGTAATCGTATGAAATTGTCTTTGTATATATATTAGTCTGTTAAGTCATAGTAAAGCGTAGTATACGATTGTTACTCCTATCGTTCACGTACAGATAAGTTTCGTTATGATTCAAAAATGTATTGGATGGATTATTTAATAGCATCAAACTAGTGCCACTATTAGCAGTCACGCCTGCTAATGTTTCTCCATATGTAGCTCCAAGATTCCATTGTTGTATTCGATGGTTGTTATAATCAGCAATGTAGAGCGCTCCTGTCTTGTTTGAAACATATACACCAAAGGGTGTATCTAATTGATTGCTAGCAGATCCTTGACCATTTCCACCAGCAACTGTTGTACCATTCATTGAAATACCTAATTGAAAACGCTGGATTCTATGGTTATTCGAGTCAGCGACATACAGATAAGAGTTAAATTCATCAAGATAAATACCAACAGGTAAATTAAGCTGCTGAGGGCTATTACCGGCAGTACCATTACCAGCGGCATAAGAGCCGTTGCTAGCATTCGATGCCCATTTCATCACACGATGATTATAATAATCACTCACATAAAGATTTCCTAATGAATCAACAACTACCCCAGATGGACCATTTAAAGTGCTTGCCGTATTTCCACTGACACTACTAGTTCCTGCTACCAGACTGCCAGAAGTTGCATTTTTTGACCACAACATGACACGATTATATAAAGAATCACTAGCATAAATATTATGTGATGCATCAACATATATTCCCGATACTGCACCCAGTTGAGTATTGCTAGTACCGGATATTCCTGTGCCAGCTACTATACTGCCAACTAAAGATCCTTGATGTAACTTGATCACTCGGGCATTCATTAGATCACCAACATAAATTGTTTCATTAATACTCACATACAGTCCTACTGGACTATTCAAAGCATTCAGACTATTTCCTGCCGTGCCATTACCATAACCACCAACGAGAACACCAATTTGAAACGTTGATGCTACAAAATAGAATGAAAGTATGATAATATTCCTGATTGCATCTTGCTTAAGAAAAAAGGCAAATATATTAAATAACTTATCTTAACTTCATTTACAAAATACTAGCCAACTCAGGAAAGTCACCTATTTCTATTCTATGAAAATAATGAACAGTAATACTTACGACCACATTGTTGACGTGGTAAACATGTATAATTAAGATCATATCGACATTCTGTACTATTCATACATACACCTCCAAGTAGTTTTTGGCTTTGACATATTGATCCATCAAAATATGTATTTATTTCACATTGACATGTATTATTAATACATCTCATATATCGACTTCCTTCACACAATGGACATGATTGACCATGATTAATAAACTGTTCTGCATTGTATTTTCTTGACCCAACACGAGATTGCGGAGATGAAGAAGGTATAATTGAACCCATAGTTATTATATTACCTTGAAAAAGACGACATAAAAGTGATTGATCATTAAAATCAAATATGCGACAATTGCCATTTGAATGACATGTTTGTGCACAAGAAAATAATGATTTTGTATTGATTTGAGACAAAAAGAGTGCTTGATAATTGACAGGTGAGAACTGAAAACCAGGAGAAGATATATTCATGGATGATTGCCAATCAAGAGGAATACTTTGACCATGCATTGTTGTTAGTATGCAAGTGCAGAAGAAGAATACACCGTAGCATAATTTTATTATAGTGAAATACATTCTAAAAAACAAAGAAATGTTTATGAGTATTATTTTAATGATAATGTAGAATGGATTCATAAAATATTCATTGTGAGACTTTTGAACTTAGACTATCATATTTACCAAGGAGTAATCGAGCTTTCTAGTTACATATGAACTAGTTTTCAGTTGATAGTGTAGATATAGCACATATACTGCTTTTGTCTATAGCCTGTAGAGGATACAGCTAAAAATAACGCTAAACTATATTTTAAAAATGAAAACAACCATAACAATGAGTACTATGCACTGGCATTTATGTTCTAGAAGGACGAATAGATAATCTTTCTATGAAAAAGTAAGCGAAAATCAATTGTATTTCTCTAAAAATCATTAAACAATGCAACAAGACACTAACAGTGTTTCTAATAGCAAGTGTACCAAGCATAATAAAAATGTACAGAACACTTGCTCCTCTCGAAATACACGCTGCGGTACACTTGCCCTAAAAACTAGAGTGTACGAAATACACTTTGTTCAATAAAATAATACTTTGCTTCTAATTCTGAGAATTTTTAAGAATAATGTGAATTTTAAAAGTTATGTCTAAACAATGAGACATTGTGATCTCTCTTGATACAAATTATCATTTGTCTTCTATGATATCTGCTCCATCTGATGCAGTTCATTTATGTATATGAATCGGTCCTCTGTTCGTTATATATCATACTAGCGGGGATATCCGCTGCGAGTTCAAAGCCCCCAAACTAAAAATTTCGTATGTTAGGAATCGACACAGGATTTAAAAAGGATTGTTCTCGAAATTTTTCTTCTACAACCACAACGTATCCTGCCATGCACATCTGAGATAAAACAAATTTTCCTATGTAGCATTCCAAATCCGCCTGTTTTGTTACAGTTCCCGCTGCAAAATAATTAAATTTAAGCACCTTCCGTATCCGACCCCCTCTCCACTTTTCCTTGTATATGCAAAAGTGTTATAAACGGTTTGGTGACGTTAGCTAATACAGAGACTGAATGCATAGCGAACAGACAGACAGACACTCTTCTTTATATATATATAGATAGATAGGTATAGATTAAATGTCATATACACTTTGATACACTTGGCATACGAAAACAAGATGTACACATACACTTGGCTAAGAAAAATAAAATGTACATATACATTTTGTTTTAGATTTCTATTAGAAACCCTGGACACTAATAAGCTTATTCATGTTAATTAGTCGAAACTAAGTATGATTTTTCTTTATTCAGCTTAATCGATGTAATACAAGAACTGAATCATAAAAATTAGTTAATAAATATGATGGCAAATAATAAAGGAAAGCAAACTAACTAAGTCATTTTCATTTTTACATTACCTTGTCTTAAAAGTTGAACCGAGTAGAAAAAGATTTAAAACAAACTGAGACAAAGAAAAGAGAAATATCAAGTAGTTGAGAAAGAAGAAAAATAAAATAGAAAAAATCTAGTCGGTTGTTTTACTAAATCACATGATGTATTCTTATGCTATTATGGTCTATATAGAAATGGAAAACCTTTTAGTGCACTTGGAAAAGTGACCTTTATGATCTGAGATTGGTTTTTTCTTTCTTTAGTATTCTACTTCAGGATCTACCTTTTGAAATTTAGATGTAAAGTAATTAATTTATTTATAAAACATATTACATAACAGAAAAATACAAGTATTTCTATATGAATATATCTTTCTTCAAAAATATCATCATATCAAAATTGTTTTCATCAGATGATAATATCTAAAAATGAGATTTGTTTAAATGTCAGAGTAAAAATATTTCAGGATAACATGGTTTAAATTCATTTCTAGTTTTATAAGAATATCATAGAATTATTAAATTTAGTCTTTTGAATATTTCACATTTCTATTAATGGCACTTATAATAACAGAGTGAAAAATTATTTTGATAGTTTTCATTGAATTTATTTTAAAATGAAATTTATTTCTGAGTAAATGCTAATCTTGTATCTAAGACAAATATTCTGTTAGATCTTGTTTAAGTAAACAAGAAAATGCATTAGTATAATTGTTCTCTCATTCTTAAAATGCCCTCGAAAAACGAGATGAAATAAAAACATAAAACATTCATTATATGAAGACTTAAAGTAAAAAAGTGTTTTTTCTTATTCATTAAATAGATGTGAATTCATTTAAATGATATAAAAGGAAAAATATCTTAAACGGTTTGCGATATCGTCGTTCTAAAATGTGTAGATAAGGGTGTCAATGTGATTAAGCAGCAGTCCATCATATGGATACACACCGACACTTAAGATAGGATGTCACGTTAAATACTGTTTCTAGTATTAAATACTGTCTTACTATCTTTTAAGTATGCACTGTTAAATCATCTCCTTTGAAATATTTCATATATATGTATAGGAAGAAATAAGTGATATTTTATTACTTTTCTTGAAATACAACAAAAATATAAAATTTACGTTGATTATCAATGTCTTTCCTTTGATTTGTTTGATAGTGTCGAAAACATCTAAATGTAATTGGACATTCACCTTGTGACCACAACTCTCAAAGGGTAAATGTCATTTGATATACCTTTTGATGAAAAATATTGGTTCTTATGTTCTAGTACACACATATAGTAATATCATGAAATTACGTAAATATCATAACACAGCACAATAAAGAGCATATATATATATATTGAGAAAAATATATAATCTATGAATACAATAACAATAACAATAACAATAACAACAAAACCGGTTTCATGTATGAGTTGTCTATGAATGAATGTTTCGATAGTGCAAAGATACGTAAGAATGAATATAATAAACATTGTGGAAGTTAAAAATTGTCTTTTCATATGAAATCATCTGTTTAGGAACATTCCAGTCTAAGAATGATGTTCATGATTCATATTTCACTGTTTTTCTTCGTAGATTTTGATGATACATGTGTATTTCTTTAGACATAAAAAGATTGATTATATTTATAAAAAAAATGAGATGAGCGGTTGAATGTTGTAGAAAGAGATAAGTATGTATTGCATAGATACAAGAACTAATCAAGTCAATCATAAATGTTAGGTCTAATGCAACTGATCAGTGAATAGGATGAGATAGAAATATTGAACAGCTAGCATTCTATGAATTTATCGTGCTCAGAAACATTAAGATGTTCTTAGTTGTATACAATCATAGTTCGATAATAAATATTGATTGTTAAGAAATGTATTGAGTTAATATACTATAATAGTAAAAGAATGTAAAGTAATCTTCACAGGTTTTCATTAGGAAAATGGTTTTCATCGAAAATATAACTAGACATAAGACATAGTTTTGTATATCATATGCACTGATGAACACTCCATTGAATCTATGCGACTAAAATTGATGCGATTCTTTTCTCTTTTTCCATAGCTCATTCTATTTTTCAAGTATTTTAAACTGCAAACAACAATGATTAATTATTTTTTTAAATAAAAACTATGCACAAATAGTGAAAGAAGGGATTAATACTTTAATTCTTGTGCAAGAAGAAAAAAATATCATCAATCGAAATCTGTCTTCAATTTAACTTGTTTCAAACTATGATAATCAACTTCTTAGTTGAATAGATTTTGAAAACGTATGATGACAACACAAGTTTAAAAGAACATAATATACATCAATTATTAATTAGATTCCATGAAATAGAAACAATACGAAACAAAATAAAAATTAACATAAAATATAATTACATAGAAATATTTAGAGTAATTATTGCAATATTGTCAACAAATGATCCATTCGAGTAAACAATGCTGTTGACTGATTTATTACACATCGTTTAAACTCAATTGAAAAATGAGCAAGAACATAACATAATTTTATACGAAACGTCTTTGATGGTAATGAATAAATATAAAACGATATCTGAAAAATATTAGTTTAAATCACCCTAGGAAAAGCTTTTTTACGAAAAAATTTGTTTTGTATAAAGTTTGATCAAAGGTAATTGGGATCGGGGAATCGATTGGTGTGATCAGTTTTTTAAAATTTTATTTATATGAAGATAAAGATTCTTTGATTTTATCTGATTATTCATTAGAAAAGGATAATATAAAATCTATGCACTCTACCTATGAAAACGTGTATTCAGAAACTTGGGGGTATTGGGAGGGGGGGGTAGACGCAAATATTCGATTTATACAATATCTACAGACAATCCTACCATTCTCTGCAACAACTTTTTTGTCATCCTCAATCACTCTAAGAGTGTTCCACTATGAGATAAAAGCATATTACTTTTAATGAATAAATAAATAATGACTAAATGAATAATGAATAAACGAAAGAGTAAGAAGTATTGAAAGTGTGAGTTATGTTCTCGATTATGGTCTGTTTGTTCTATTTCAATTCAATACATAATTAATCTTAATTGGCTATTGATTATCTCGTTGAGAATGATTATTAGTCACTTCATATTGATCATATACAGAACATAACGGACGATGAATAAAGTGCGTATATATATTGTCTATATTCAACTCAGTACATATATCATTATCAAAGTGAATAAAATTATATAATTGTAAATGGCATCAACAAATAATCCACAAGAATTTCTCAATTCTCTGGAACTTGGTGAAGTAAGTGATTTTGTATCAGATTTATTTACGCTTTATTCTTATCTTGATTTAGTAAATGACGATCATTTTAAGAGTTTATCGATTAAAATGGAGCAGCTTGTTACAATGAAAAATGCTCGAGGAGAACAATACCCAGACGGTAAGTAACATTTTGATTAAATAAAATAATTTATATTTGCGTTGTTTTAGGCGCTTTTTTTAAAAGATGGATGGAGTGCAAAATTAGAGAAAAACATCTAAACCAACGACCAGCCAAACATCCAGGAGTTAATTCACAGCGACGCGGCAGAACCTGGTCACTATCAGTTCGACTAAGTTTTAGAAAGTTTCGTAAAACAAAAAAAAATAAATTCTTTACATATATACTGTCACCATATTATTCTTCGTCTTATTTTAGGTCGTAGTGGTCATCAACTTCCGTTACTGGCTGGAGGAAGAAACCATGAACAAGGTAAGTCCACAAATTTTTTCTCCTTATTTTAACTTACACTTACATTTATATTTAGCATCACATTTATGTGATACGACTGGCTGTTTAAGAGAAGAACATCTCTGCATCGAAAAGCAGGAGGTCAATCAAAGTCGATGCAGATGTGACGGTATTGTATTACATATTGGCAGAAATATTGCTGATGAATTTTGTATATTTCAGGTTACTCCTTGTAAGCATATGCCATTGATTTATGTAAACAAGTAGATAGTGACATGCCACTTCACATGATCGTCGATTATTTACAGGATGGTGTTCTTGCTGAACTAATAATTCATATTAAACGTCGCATGAAGACACTTGATGATGATCCATCACCAGCTCAATTTTTACAAAATTGCTCGCGACGAAGAAGAGCTGCAAAAAGAATTCTCTTATTTTTCATCATCCAACGCAACTGCTACTCAACTATATTTTACTCATCTTACTGCAACTACTAGTCCTACTATTACACATACCAATCATTCTAATAATGGATCACGTTCTTCTATTTCTCAATCATCTCGTCCTACACACACACTCACATCCACAATTTTTCATGAATTACTTTTATCGCCTTTCAAAGCCTTTTGCGATTCTTATTTTACTGTTGTGCTTTATTATAACTTTATGTACTCTTTATTTTAGTCGTTTTTTTCTAATGTTTTCGTTCTGTCATATTATTTTTTTTCACTGTCAGCGGAGAGGGGAAGTATTATGGCATGATATATCACATGCTATAGAGAATACTGATTCTCTTTCATTTCCTCACGTACTGTTGATATCGTTGAGAATTTAAGATGTGAATATTGTGAAGAGTAGGATCATTCTTGTTTTATGAAAAAAAGAGGCATAAAGAATAAAAACGAGCGACAACAAAAGGATTTTGAAAATATATAATAAATGCATGATTAAATATAATATTTCACCAAAAACGACACAACATATATATGTTTTATTCATATGTTAATGATAATTTTGAGCGTATTTATTAAATGAGTTGGAAACGCCAAACTCTATTTTCCGTCATTTCACTTACAAATAGATTATTTTCATTATTGTTTAGTCTAATAGTCATATTTCCTTGTATCAATGTTGAATCATTTCTTATTATTGCACCATTGCCGACAATGGTCACTCCATATGATGCTCCAAAACTCCAGCGTTGCACACGATGGTTTCCACCATCTGTAATATAAATATAACTATTGATTGTTGAGACGCATAATGAATATGGCATATTCAACTGATTACTTCCAGGTCCTTGACCATTTCCTCCAGCAACGGTAGTTCCGTTTAACGAAACACCAACATGATATCGTTGAATTCGATGATTGTTAGTATCAGAAACATAAAGATAGAAATTGGGCTCATCAAAGAATAGACTAGTTGGTGAATTGAGCTGTTGATCATCATTACCAGCAACACCGGTACCACCGATAATTGTGGCAAACGTGGTATTAGGTGAGAATCTCATTATGCGATTATTAGCTTGATCACAAACATAAATATTTTTTTGTGAATCAACAAATATTCCACCTACAAGACCGAAACTGCTTAACGTATTTCCAGACAAACCAGTTCCGGCCACTCGAACACCAAACGACGAGTTATTTTGCCAAAGCATTATTCGATAATTATAAGTATCTGCCACATAGAGATTAAACGACGTATCAATATATAAACCTGAAGGCCCATATAATTGGTTGTTACTAGCGCCTGGAGATCCTGTTCCAGCGACGAGTGAACCCGTTAAAGATCCTGCTGGAAATCTCAAGACTCTGCTATTGTAAGAGTCGGATACATAAAGTGAGTTGTCAATTCCAATTGTAATTCCTGCTGGATAGTAAAGTGTAGTTAAAGAACTTCCTTGCGCACCATTAGCATTACCAGCAACAACTGCTCCAACCTGTATCGATGATGCTATAAGATAAAAGCATATTTATGACTTTTTAATAATCATATAATAAAAATGGCTTGTAAGTATTTATTATACGATATACGTCTTACATGAGGACCTCTCTCCTTGATAACTATTTCATGAACTCATATTTTGTTTGTTTGTATGTATAGTTTAGAGTTTCAGTAAAAACTGTAAAAGAACATCTACTAATCCGACTTTCTTGGTAGTTTATAACCGTTCCAGGAATCTTATAGATAGACTAAAGAAGTAGTTCTGAACCGTCCTCTTGATTCCTATACGATGTTATAAAATATGTTACTAAATCCTTGTAACTATCGTCTATAATATTATCAGTTTACTAACTACACAAGTTAAAATTCATATTAAATAATACTTACGACCACATTGTTGACGTGGTAAACATGTATAATTGAGATCATGTCGACATTCTGTACTATTCATACATACATCACCAAGTAGTTTCTGACTCTGACATATTGATCCATCAAAATATGTATTTATTTCACAATGACATGTATTATTAATGCATCTCATATATCGACTTCCTTCACATAATGAACATGATTGACCATGATTAATAAACTGTTCTGCATTATATTTTCTTGACCCAACACGAGATTGCGGAGATGAAGAAGGTATAATTGAACCCATAGTTATTATATTACCTTGAAAAAGACGACACAACAATGATTGATCATCAAAATCAAATATGCGACAATTGCCATTTGAATGACATGTTTGTGCACAAGAAAATAATGATTTTGTATTGATTTGAGACAAAAAGAGTGCTTGATAATTGACAGGTAAGAACTGAAAACCAGGAGAAGATATATTCATGGATGATTGCCAATCAAGAGGAATACTTTGACCATGCATTGTTGTTAGTATGCTAGTGCAGAAGAAGAATACACCATAGCATATGTTGATTATAGTGAAATACATTCTAAAAAAACAAAGAAATGTTTATGAGTATTATTTTAATGATAGTGTAAAATGGATTCATGAAACGCTTATTGTGGAGATTGTTGAACTTAGACAATTATATTTACCAAGAAGTAATCGAACTTTCTAGTTACATATGAACTAGTTTTCAGTTGAAAGTGTGGATATAGCACATATACTACTTGATTCTATAGTCTGTAGAGGATACAGCTAAAAATAACGCTAAACTATATTTTAAAAATGAAAACAATCATAACAATGAGTACTATGCAGTAGCACTTATATTCTAGCAGGTCGAATAACTAAACTTTCTATGAAAAAGTAAGCGAAAATCAATTGTATTTCTCCAAAAATTATTAAACAATGCAACAAGACACTAATAAGCTTATTCATGTTAATTAGTCGAAACTAAGTATGATTTTTCTTTATTTAACTTAATCGATGTAGTACAAGAATTGAATCACAAAAATTAGTTAGTAAATATGATGGTATACGATAAGGGAAAACAAATTGAGTAAGTCATTTTTATTTTTTACATTACCTTGTCTTAAAAGTTGAACCGAGTAGAAAAAGATTTAAAACAAACTGACACAAAGAAAAGAGAAATACCGAGCAATTGCAAAAGAAGAACAATAAAATAGAAAGATCTTATTGGTTAGTTTGCTAAATCATATGAAGTATTCGCTCGCTATCATGATCTATGTAGAAATGGAGAGCTTTTAGTTCAAAATGATAATTGTTTTTTTAGTATACTTTACTAAAGTAACCTTAAGGATCTGAGAGTGGTTTTTTCTATTTTCTTGTATTCTACTTCAGGATCTACCTTTTGAAATTTAGACGTAAAGTAATTAGTTTATGAATAATACATACTACACAAGAGAAAAACTACAAACATTTCTATATGAATTTATCTTTCTTGCAAATTATGATCTTATCTAAATTATTTTCACAAGATGATAATATCTCAAGATAAGATTTGTTTAAATGTTAGAATAAAAATATTGCATAATAATATGATTTAAACTGATGTCTAGTTTTATACGAATATCGGAGAATCATTAAACTTAGTCTTCTGAATATTTCACATTTCTATAATAAGACTTATAATAGTCAAATGAAAAGATATTTTGATAATATTTATTGAATTTATTCTAAAGCGAAATGTATTTGTGTGAGATGCTAATATTTCAGCTAAGACAAATATTCTGTTAGATCTTGTTTAAATAAACAAGAAAATGCATCAGTATAATTGTTTTCACATTTTTAAAATGTCATGAAAAAACGAGATACAATAAGAACTTAAAATATGCATTAGATGAAAACTTAGAGTAGAAAAGTGTTTTTTTTATTCATTAAATAGATGTGAATTTATTTAAACGATGTAAAAGAAAAAATATCTCAAGTGACTTGAGATATTATCGTTCTAAAATGTGTTGATAAGGGTTTCAATGTGATTAAGCAGCAGCCCATCATATGGATACACACCTACACTTAAGATAGAATGTCACGTCAAATACTGTTTTACTATCTTTCAGGTATGCACTGTTAAATCATCTCCCTTGAAATATCGCATATATAAGTTATATCCCATGTCGCTCTTTTTTTCATAAAACCGTCGGTAACCGTTGATCGTGCTAAAAACCAGCGGTGACCGATGGTTGAAGCTAGGACCGACGGTTAACCGCGGTTAGCGATCGGTTTTGACTAGCGGATTTTAACGATGAAACGATAAACAAAAACAAACAAACTATATGTAGTGATATAAAAAAAATTAGAAATAATCATCAATATGATTGGAATTCTCTTGTTCTATTTGTTTTATCAAGATTTAGAGAAACAAAACTCATATTTTAAAGCTATACTAAGATGTCGCTTTTTTCTTTCTCATTGGATTGATTGAAATTGTTCAAGACTTGTTCATTATATAAACGACATAATGAATGAATCGATTGTTGAAAATAGTTTTTTACGTTTATAATATCTATGTATATGATTTTCACTTTTGTTTGTTAATTTATCTAGAAATTTCTCACACAATTAATTTCATTTTTAGATATCAATATTCTCTCCATGGATAAAAAAATCCTTTTGTTCTCGTCGAATTATCAAAGAAAAAAGTAAATATCAATTTTATCAATATTTTTCGTTTTAAATAATAAATTTGTATTTTCAAGGTCAATGTCGCATTAAATGGTGATCAATTTTGTGATGAAAATATAATCGTTGACGATTCACCATTTAAATTTACATTAGTGAGTTATATTTAGCAGGTTCTGCTTATGAACTTTTGGCTGTTGTGTTTTTTTTAGATTTATGTCAATTCAGAAGGCGTATCTGTAGATCTACTTCAGTTATATGGTGCTCAAACTCATATGGGTCATTATGTTGCACTTGTAATGGATAAGTTATTTACGTTCGAAGAAATAACGACCATTACTAAAGATGAATTGGTAAAGGATGAACGATACTTAATTATTAAAGGTAAAACAAAAATCAGTTTTTATCATAGTCACTTCTTAAATATGGTTCTATTTAGAAGCAGTTCGATCAAGATTCAAGCTGAATCATGAAATGTTACGGTCTGAATGGACAACCTTGCATGAATGCATTCTTCAAAAGAGACGCAATGAATTGAAGAAAAAAAAAGTAGTACTGGTAATGTAACAGTGCAACCTGCACCACAAGTAGCACTACACGACGATTTTGATGAATTTATTGGTTCATTTGCAAATTAAAAAGCTTCTTGTTAAATATCTTTTTTACTTCTATTTTCTTGTTTTAAGTATTTTTACTGTATTAAAAACATTTATTTCTTACATATTACATGATTATTGTTATAATATGTAATACTTCTTTATTAACTGTTTTTATCATACAGTCGTAATTAGAATAGTAGAATATGTACTTGATTAATGTTATTTTATGTTGTAACTCGTGTTTTCGTAGACGCATTCTTCCTGTGTGAAAACATAATGTACGCGTCTTTTTTGTTTGTCTCATTACAAGTTGATTTTGTTGAACATGTGTGATGTTAAATAATGATAAGTGATTTTTTATACTTCAATGATTTAAAATGCTCTTTTATTGTTGTGCTAGAAATTGATTTTGATGAGATTTAAATAAAGTCTAACTGAAAACTAAATGTGAATTGAAACTTTTACTGTAAACTACATTCGATCCTAACACATCGGTAAGAGCATAAAGAAAATCGACAGTGGAATGCAGTTAACGGCGGTTAACTGCGATAACCGGAACGGTCAAATGGGCGTTCAAGCGGACGGTAAACTGCGGTTAACTGACGGTTTTAAAGCGGTTTGTATGACATGGGATATAACATCGTTTCTCTTCAGGTGACGTGTCAGCAATAAAATCGTATGTTCCTTATATTATATAGACATTGTTATTATTTGTAAAATCAGATATGAATATATTTTGTTTCAAATAAGAAGATATTCGTTGTATATAGACTCATTAGTAGTAAAAATCAATGGAATAAACTACGAATCGTTTTATAAACGAAGATATTTATATAGGAATGTTATTACTATATTTATATATTCATGCATAGTATTCAGAATGATATGAAATACGTGAATCATTCTAAAAGTTTTTAAATTCTTGAATAGATTAAGAGGTATAGATGACTTTGGTAGCTGCGTTGGTAGCTCCAGGTCTTATAAGAAAGTCCACAAACTTTTGGTTCTTGAGCATTTTTCTTTTGTTTTTTTTTGTAGATTAATTGATAAACTACTAACACATTTTTTTGTTATTACTATGAATCTCACACGTGATTAAATTAGAAATATGATTTATTATGATTATAAAAAAAATTATCATAGCAAGAACGTCTTGAATCTTGGCAAAAAACATTTGGTGACTCTTGTGTTTCGCGTGCAACAGTTTACAATTAGTATGTCGAATTTAATTTGGGACAGAGATCACTTTGAAGTTGAACTTCGTGTTGGCCGACCAAGAAGTGCAGTCACACCAGAAAATATTGAAGCTGTTCGGCAGCTGATCAACATCGATCCTAGAGTAGACGTGAAAAAGGACTGAGTTATAACTTTTAACCGTGTTTATTATAAGTTATTATCTCAGTCCTGTCCACTAGATAAAGTTTCTATTTCTTTAATCTTAGTGAGTAAGTGAATTGAAGCCACATTTTGAAATATGGCTTATACCATTTTAACTTTTTAAAATTTTCATTTTAACTCCAACACTGATCGACCCTCATACTACTTATCGACAGATACTAAGACATCATATAAGCTTCATCGGCAATAACTGAATCTATTCTACATGATTATTTAGGTTTAAGAAAGCTTACATGTTAGTTGAGTACCTCATTTTTCGACTGAAGCTCAAAAACAGGACTGCGATGATTATTGCCTGGCAATACTCGAAAAATTAGATGGTAGTAGATTAAGACGTGTTTATGACATTATTACTAGTGTTAAAAACTGGTTTTTCTACTATGATCCAGAAACGAAGCGTAAAAATCAAGTCTAGATTGCAAGAAGTGATCTTCAACCAACCGAAGTTCGTCGATAACGTTCTGTTTGCAAACATATGTTTACAATTTTCTTCATGAAATCTGATTTTAATACAATCAGTCCTCTTGAAAGCGATAAGACAGTTTCAGCTAAATGGTATACAAATGAATGTCTTTCAAATATTTAAAAACAAGTGGAGAACCGTCGACGTCTTAATAATTGTGTTATTCATCATGACAATACATCAGCTCATCAGGCAACACAAACGATGGAATATTTAAATGCTCAATGTGCTAAATAAATGAGTCATCTAGCATATCCGCCAGACTGAAGTCGTTGCGACTTCTGGTTATTTCCAAAAATTAAAAAAGCACTTCGTGGTAAAAATTTTCAGGACATTAATAAACTCTATGCTACTGTCGAGCAGCAAACGGGATGTCTCCAATACGAAGATTTCTACCAATGTTATAAACAATGGTTTGAAAAAATGAATAAGTGTACTGAGATATTACTTTGAACAAATATAATACAATTATTTTAAACTGAGCCAAAAGTATTGCAAATCTAAAAACTTTCAGAGTGATCAACGTTTATTTAGAATACTTCATTCAAATGTAAATATACAAAGGTTTTCGAAAATATATAATAAATGGATGATTAAATAAAATATTTTAACAAAAGACAACATATATTTGTTTTTATTCATGTCTATATAATAATTTGGAATCTATATATTAAATGAGTTGGAAACGCCAAATTCTATTTTTTGTTATTTCAAGTATCAATAGATTACTATCATTAATGCTTAGCCTAATATCCATATTTCCTTGTACCACTGTTGAATCATTTCTTATTATTGCACCATTACCAACCATGGTCACTCCATATGATGCTCCAAAACTCCAGCGTTGCACACGACTGTTTCCACTATCTACAATATAAATATAATTATTGATTGTTGAAACCCATAATGAATATGGCGTATTCAACTGATTGCTTCCAGATCCTTGACCATTTCCTCCAGCAACAGTAGTTCCGTTTAACGAAGCACCAACATGGTATCGTTGAATGCGATGATTGTTAGAATCAGAGACATAAAGATAGGAATTGATCTCATCAAAGAAAAGACTAACTGGTGAGTTAAGTTGTTGGCTACCATTACCCGGAACGCCGGTACCACCGACAATTGTGGCATTTGTGATGTTCGGTGAGAATCTCATTATGCGATTATTATCTCGGTCACAAAGATAAATATTTTTTTGTGAATCAACAAATATTCCTCCCACAAGACCAAAACTGCTTAGTGTATTTCCAGACGAACCGGTACCCGCGACCCGAACACCAAATGGCCAATTGTTCTGCCAAAACATTATTCGATAATTATAACCATCCACTACATAGAGATTAAACGACGTATCAATATATATACCTATAGGTCCATTTAATTCGTTGTTACTAGGGCCTGCAACGCCTGTTCCAGCGACGAGTGAACCTGTTAAAGATCCTTGTTGGAATCTCAAGACTCTGTTGTTCGTAAAGTCGGATACATAAATTGAATTGTCAATTCCAATTGTAAGTGCTAATGGATAATTCAATGCAGTTAAACTAGTTCCCGACGTACCATCAGCATTACCAGCAACAACTGTTCCAATCTGTATCGATGGTGCTACAAGATAAAAAGATATCGACCACTTATCAGTAATCATATAAATATACCTTATAACAAAAAGAAGTTGTCAGTACTTATCAAGTAGTATACATCTCACATGAACACCTATCTATAATTTATAACCGTTTCATAAATCCTATTGGCGGACTATAAAAGTCGCTTTGAACCGTCCTCTTTTTGCCTATACGATGTTATAAAATATGGTACTAAATCTTTGTAACTATCATCTATAGTACGATTAGTTTACTAACTATAGAAGTGTAAATCCACAATTAATAATACTTACGACCACATTGTTGACGTGGTAAACATGTATAATTGAGATCATGTCGACATTCTGTACTATTCATACATACATCACCAAGTAATTTTTGACTCTGACATATTGATCCATCAAAATATGTATTTATTTCACAATGACATGTGTTATTAATACATCTCATATATCGACTTCCTTCACATAATGAACATGACTGACCATGATTAAGAAACGGTTCTGCATTGTATTTTCTTGACCCAACACGAGATTGAGAAGATGAAGAAGGTATAATTGAACCCATAGTTATTATATTACCTTGAAAAAGACGACACAAAAGTGATTGATCATTAAAATCAAATATGCGACAATTGCCATTTGAATGACATGTTTGTGCACAAGAAAATAATGATTTTGTATTGATTTGAGACAAGAAAAGTGCTTGATAATTGACAGGTGAGAATTGAAAACCAGGTGAAGATAAATTCATTGATGATTGCCAATCAGGAGAAACACTTTGGCTATGCATTGTTGTTAGTATGCAAGAGCAGAAGAAGAAAACACCATAGCATATGTTGATTATAGTGAAATACATTCTAAAAAAACAAAGAAATGTTTATGAGTATCATTTTAATAATGGTCTAAAATAGATTCATGAAATATTCATTTGTTGAGATTTTCGAACTTTTGAGGGCTTTTTGCCAACTATCCGATCGGTTTTTCAATAAAAGCTATTGAGTTAAAGGTTATTTACTATGCTGAGTCTGAATATAGGCATGATGAGTCTTCATAGGTCTTCTTAGGGTAGCGGAGTGGCTTGAGAAAACCCTTTCTGTCAGAAAGTCGAATTTTAACAGCAATACAACCGTTGTAATTTATGGAACGGATGTATTAATAGTACAATATACAGGTATAATAGCGTATGTATACTTTTACCTAAAACTTAGTTTTTATCAGTAAAACTATTCTTGGCGATATCTACTCTTATTGAAAAATATACTCAAAATCAAGATTCGCACACGGAGATACGAAGGACCCAAATGTAATCTCTATTGTGGATAGGTAGTAATATAAATTATTCTTTCTCTACAGAAATACTATTCTTCTGCTATAATAAATCCTGCTAATATTGTATACTGCTTATTAGAACTATTCGATGTTAATTTAAAATAACATATACCTTTATCTATCTCACATAAACAAGTGCTTCTATCAAGAAATTAACTTATTTATGCATATATTCCTTTTCGACATTTGAATGCTACTATCTTGATGTGAGTGAACAATAACATGTAATAGAAATAAAACGGCCGCATTGCTGCTAAAAATCGATTTTGAAACAGTAGAAACTATCAGTTTATAGACAACTCGATATGCTTTACAACATGGAAGGATTAAAAAGCCGATTTAGCGAAAAAACTATTTGACGTGAAAATTAGGTTGTCTCGAGCTTCTTCCTTTGTAAAGATATAAGGAGATTTCTAATGCCAATATTCTAACTCAATAGCGTTTATTGGAGAAGCGATTGGACAGTTAGCAACATTCCCTCGTTAGACAATTATATTACCAAGAAATGATCGGATTTTCTAATTACATACGAATTATTTTACAGTTGAAAATGTAGATATGACATCTATATTAACAGATTCTGTAGCTTGCAGGAAATAATACTTGAGATAACGCCAAAGTATTGTTTTGAATTAAAAACAAATATAACAATTAGTTACATCGTTTTTAATGCATTATCATTTATTTTTAACAGACCGAATTATACATTATGTTTAATATTAACTCGATCATTCTGTTCAAATGTGGGAAAGGGAATAAATGGATATCGTCTCGAAAGTACAAGAAATCTTTCTATCGGAAAAGTAAACAAAAGTCATTAATAAACTGGAAATAAAAAAAACTAAGGTAAACAACGCAACGAGACAATGATAAACCTATTGATATTTATTCATCAAAACTAAATACGATTTCCATTCATGTAGCTTAATCTATATAGTATAGAAATTGAAAATATCTAATTTATTTTAGCTTGGATTCTTTCATAGAAAATAGTCAAAAAATATAATCTTAAACAGTACAGGAAAATAACTGAAGTAAATCATTTTCCATGTTTGGTTTTTCATAGAAATATCAATATCGTAGATTGATCTTTCATTTTTTACGTTACCTTTTCTTAAAAATTGAATCAAATAGAAAAAGATTTTAAACTAACTGACACGAAGAAAAGAGAAATATCGACTAATTGAAAAAGAAGAAAAATAAAATAGAAAGATCTTGTCGATTGGTTTACTAATTCATGTGATGTATTTCCTTGATATTATGATCGATATAGAAATGGAAAACCTTTTAGTGCACTTACAAAAATGAACTCAATGACTTGAGATTGATTTTTTCTTTTTTTGATATTCTACTTCATGATTTACATTAAAAAATTGAGATGTAAAGTAAATAGTTTATTAATAAAACATATTACACAAGAGAAAAATACAAACATTTCTATATGAATTTATTTTTCTTCAACAGTATAATCCTATCCAAATTATTTCACAAGATGATAATATCTCAAGATAAGATTTGTTTAAATGTTGACATTAGAATATTTCAGATTTTACATTGTAAAATATTTTATAAGAATATCATAGAATCAATAAATTCAGTCTTTGGAATATTTCACATTTATCTAATAGCACTTATATTAATCGAACGAAAGATTAATTTGTTAAGTTTTATTGAATTTGTTCTAAAGAGAAATGTATTTGTGAGAAATACTAATCTTTCAACTAAGACAAATATCCTGTTAGATCTTGTTTAAATAAACAAAAAATATATTAATATGTTTGTACTCTCATTTTTGAAATGTCCTTAAAATGAGATGAAATAAAAATATAAAATATGCATTAGATGAAGAGCTTAAGTGAAAAAGTGTTTCTTTTTATTCATTAAATAAATGTGAATTGATTTAAACGATATAAAAAGAAAAATATCTTAAGTGGCTTGTGATATAGTCGTTCTAAAATGTAAGAAGAATGTTTTGTTTTTTTCTCATCATAACTACAGTGATCAGTTGATCAAAATACTTATACTACGATGTAAATCATAGCACTTAAACATCATAAATTATGACGTGTATAAATATGAACACTACTTTCATAAATTAGAGTATTTTTGCTATAGTGTCATGTACGAAATTCTGTTGAGAATGTTATATTCAAGTTTCTTTTTTAATAACATATATGTCCTTAGTCGTTCTTGATGGCACATAACGAAACTAAATAATTTTCATAGGATCTTAGTTGACTTTTTATGCGTACATTCTAAGTTTTGTTATACTTTGCTTATCATTCAGTATTTTTCAAGGGAGATTGTGAATGTGGGTGTGATTAAGCAGCAGCTCGTTATATAGATACAAACCCGCACCCTCATTTTTATAGAGACTCATTAGCAGTAAAACTCAATGGAATAAACTACGAATCGTTAAGTACATCAATATGTTTATATTGCAATGTTATTACTATAAATTGGTTCATACGCGGAATTCAAAATCATAAGAAATATAGAATTAAAGTACTTCATTCAAATGTAAATATACAAAGGTTTTCGAAAATATATAATAAATGGATGATTAAATAAAATATTTCAACAAAAGACAACATATATTTGTTTTTATTCATGTCTATATAATAATTTGGAATCTATATATTAAATGAGTTGGAAACGCCAAATTCTGTTTTGCATCATTTCACTTACAAATAAATTACTTTCATTAACGCTTAGCCTAACATCCATATATCCTTGTACCAATGTTGAATCACTTCTAATTATTGCACCATTACCGACAATGGTCACTCCATATGATGCTCCAAAACTCCAACGTTGCACACGATTGTTTCCACTATCTGTAATATAAATATAACTATTTATTGTTGAGACACATAATGAGTATGGCGTATTCAACTGATTGCTTCCAGATCCTTGACCATTTCCTCCAGCAACAGTAGTTCCGTTTAACGAAACACCAACATGGTATCGTTGAATGCGATGATTATTAGAATCAGAAACATAAAGATAGGAATTGGGCTCATCAAAGTAAAGACTGACTGGTGAATTGAGCTGTTGATTACTATTACCAGCAATGCCGGTACCACCTACAATTGTGGCAAACGTGGTATTAGGTGAGAATCTCATAATACGATTGTTATTTTTGTCACAAAGATAAATATTCTTTTGTGAATCAACAAATATTCCACCAACAGCACCAAAACTGCTGAGTGTATTTCCAGACGAACCACTTCCTGCCACTCGAACACCAAAGAAGGAATTCTGCTGCCAAAACATTATTCGATAATTAGCACTATCTGCCACATAGAGATTAAACGATGTGTCAATATATAAACCTGTAGGCCCACTTAATTGATTGTTACTAGAACCTGCAACGCCTGTTCCAGCAACGAGTGAACCCGTTAAAGATCCTTCTGGAAATCTCAAGACTCTATTGTTGTTAAAGTCGGATACATAAAGTGCGTTGTCAATTCCAATTGTAATTCCTGATGGATAGTAAAGTGTAGTTAAAGTATTTCCCGACGTGCCATCAGCATTACCAGCAACAACTGTTCCAGCCTGTACCGATGGTGCTATAAAATAAAAGGATAGCGATGATGTTTTAATAATGATATAATAAAAATGGCTTGTAAGTGTTTATTAGGCGGTATACGTCTCACATAAGTACCTCTCTCAATGGTAACTGTTGCATGAGCTCGTATTTTGTGTGTATATATCGCTTATAGTTTAATAAAAACAACTGTAAAAACATTTATACTAATCAGAGTTTCTTCCTAATTTATTACCGTTTCAGACATCTTTCTCAGAATGCAAGATCATTAACTACTTAAATTCAAATTCATATTAAATAAAACTTACGACCACATTGTTGACGTGGTAAACATGTATAATTGAGATCATACCGACATTCTGTGCTATTAACACATACATCTCCAAGTAGTTTTTGACTTTGACATATTAATCCATCAAAATATGTATTTATTTCACATTGACATGTATTATTAATACATCGCATATATCGACTTCCTTCACACAATGGACATGATTGACCATGATTAAGGAATTGTTCTGCATTATACTTTTTTGACCCAACACGAGATTGCGGAGATGAAGAAGCTACAATTGAACCCATGGTTATTATATTACCTTGAAAAAGACGACACAAAAGTGATTGATCATTAAAATCAAATATGCGACAATTGCCATTTGAGTGACATGTTTGAGCACAAGAAAAGAATGATTTTGTATTGATTTGAGACAAAAAGAGTGCTTGATAATTGACTGGGGAGAACTGAAAACCAGGAGAAGATATATTCATTGATGATTGCCAATCAAGAGGAATACTTTGACCATGCATTGTTCTTAATATGCAAAAGAAAATGAAGAAAACACCATAGCATATGTTGATTATAGTGAAACACATTCTAAAAGACAAAATAATACAAAGTACTTCACAATGAGTTTGTGCAGATGAAAGATAAATGAATCAACAATTGATGAGATTTTAACTCATAGAGAAATTATTTTTGCATGAGTTTTGATGATTATAATGTTCCGAAATATATTTTTAAAATGTTCGAAGAACGATAAATATGATAATCATAATCTATAAGAATCTGAGAGGTGAACAAGAAATTCTCGGTTAAAAATATTAATAAACTCTTTTTTAATGAATATCAACTTACACAATTTCAAAAGACGGTATACTTGCAACACATCCCCAATAAAGAAATATTTTTGCTTCCTTTTTCAAAATATACTTGATCCTATTTGTACAAACAAGGAACATTGCTAAAAAACTTTTCATTGACAACATGTTATTATTTTCTAATATCTATCTAGCTTTACTATTACTCTTTGACTTTAATCACATCAAATAACAAAGTACAAATACTCCGATATGCTTCTGAATTATTTGTGCTGTAATATTAGAGATTTAGCGCGTAGTTTGTGTTGGTTATAGTTTGTTATAGTCATTTATATTTGTAATTTCTGTAAATCTAATACTAGTATAAAAATTCTTATGTGTTCTACCTAGTTCAAATTTAATATTATAGTCCTGTAGAGTTGTATATAATTTTATATATCTATGATAATCAATTAAAATGATCAAAAAAATAATCTCAGTATGTGACTAAGAAATATCAAGATAAGTGAAAAAATGAATATTTTTATCTAAGGTTAAAGAAAGAAAATGCAACAATATACATCAATAATAGTTGATAGATACATCGTTAACGTTCTCAAATTACTTACTGTTGCTCAAACTATTTCAGTATGTTTATAATATTCTTTTAAAAATAATTGTTCAAATAAACATATATTATATAAAAAGAATAATGTACTCAAAACTACTTTATTTTTACCAAAAAATAGTCTTTTTCTGATATTTAAGAATCTTATTTTTCATGAGTTTCTTATTTTTACTCCATTATCTAATGCATCTGACACTTATAAAATTTATCGATAATGTAACTCTTCATGGCAATATCATGTTTTTTTGTATGAACTAAATGGAACAGTTAAAAGAAAGAAAAAATATTTCTTTCATATTTCTCCTTTTTCTAGAATGCTATAAAGAAGATAAACATGTTCATGGCATCTAACTTATTCAAATACTAGATAAATTGTTGTATTTTTTTTACAGTATCATTTAGTTACAATCTATGAAATTTAGAATAATTTCTAATACAAAGAATTGTGCTGTGAATTGTATCTGTTGAATGTTATAATACGGATCATGATGATAAACGTTTTTTACAAAAATAGTGTTGAGAAATTAATAATCTAAATCAAATACTATGGAAAAAACTTATTCATTTCTCTTTAAATTTCACTAGGAGAACAAATAATATGGATTAATACAACAGAATGGATATTTGTTTATTGGAAGTACAAATATATTAATAACAATAATAAAATAAATACCTAGAGAATAAAAACACTCAGAAGCAACTATAGAGTTCATTAAAAATGTAAATATTAATTGATAGAAAAAGAAACTTTGTTATTCTTCATAATAAGTAACTAAAAGCTGTCTTTTATTCATTCGTATTCTTGGTGATAACTAATATTTCAATGAATGAAAAAAAAAACAACTAAGTACAAAGGATTGATGGATTGCCTCGATATTATTCCTTTTAGATGAACATCATGTTTTTCAAGAGAATATAAGTATACTAATGTCCTAGCTCTTAGTGAGTTGTGCAAGAATACGGATTTTATTTTGAATGAAATTATACGCTGATTATTATAGAATAGACTGAAAAGTAAATGTTAGTAAAAATATATCTATCAGAATAAACTTGTTCTATTTTCCATGACAATATTCTGAAAATTTAAATTTCGCTTATTCATAGACTACAAAAATTTGTTATTATAAGATAGATCGAATTTTATAGAATGATTTTCACAGTAATAATATATTTAATTAAAAATTCTAATGTCTGATGCTCAAAATAAAATGAACGCTATTCTTATTATGTAGTACAGAATACGTACTTCTGTTTTATGGATCAGAGAAAGAATAGAGTCTTACAGGTGAGGTTGTAGGCGTGGATTCACATAGGATCATCTACGCTCTCATTCACCCTCAAGATGATCATTCTTCGAAGCGTATCTTTTTGATTAAAATATATTATTTATTTGCATTTTTAACAATAGTTGAACAAGAAAATTAAATAATTCTGATACAAAATATTGTTGAACTGAAAAACAAGAAAGAACATTAGATCTTGAAAAAAAATATATACAATCCAAAAATCTTCGTGAAAGAAAACAGAATCTTAGATGCTACAATCCTTTCAAGATTCACCGTCCCGTTCTACGTGCGATCGAATATGTTTGCTTTTTTGAAAACAAGACAAACTTACTCGTTTTTATTAATTTGATAAATAAATTTTTGTTGCAAAAAAAAAATCTAAATCAGAAAAAAGTAAATGACTTGAAAATTTATTGTTGATGGTGCATTTATGTTGATTTTCTATCCTAATGAATTACACCAAAATATTTCATAACTATATTATGAAGCCTTGTTTAGTCTACAGAAAGTTCATTATATTAAAAAATAATCGAAAACGTAGTGTATTTTGTTTTTTTAATAGTGCGAAATAAGTGATGAAAAAACGAGATGCAAAAATCCAATCCACTACTTTTTTTCATGTCTTTATTTTTCATCTTTTCTCAAATATATCAAAAATCGTATTAGGATTTATTTATATACAATTTTCAAGTTATTTTTCTCCGTCTTATATGTATTCATTAATACTAACACTTTTTGTGAAAGTTTTAATTCGAAGAAACATGTTAAATAATAGCTGAATATTATAAAAGAAATAATTTCGGTATTTTAAAAATAGCATCTACTCTTTTTTTTCTGCTCTAGTTACTAGATGAAGTTCTAATGAAGATTTTGAATAATTTTCTCTATTTGATATCTTAATTAATTCACTTCTCAACAGTTTGTTTCCTGCTTAATGAATGATTACAGCCTTTTTTTAAATTATAATATTCATACTGAGACAACCTTATGGCAAGAACACAGTAAGTTCAAAGTCGAAAACAGTTGATATGAGAAACACGTGACCTGTACAAATGTCTACTTGTTTGCTTATATCTAATCATTTGATTATAGTCAGTAGAGAATTTTGTATTACTGATTTATCTTGAAACAGATTTTTTCAACAAATTCAAAATATTTTCATATATTATCTTTCCTTTATTCAGAGTAATATTTATTTTAATGGTAAAATTTAATTATATACTAATTTTTCTTCCATGATAACATATAATATGAAAGACTTCTGTTTACATCAATAGTTTCAAAATTAATTATATTTTTGAGAAAATATCTGATATGGTTTATTAATTTCATACAGATATTTACAAAACATCAATGAAAAATTAATATATACCTTTGGAATGTGCGGTGACATTGTCATTAAACTTTTCCAAGTACACATGTTCTTTTCACTTGTATACTTGGTACTTTACCTTTTCTGTTATATGATTTATTATCTTTTCGTCCTATGGAATATTCCAATACGTTACTATATATATATCTGTTCGTTCTTGATATGTGTATATCCATCTTTATTACCTTTCTCTTGTTGTTCTCTTCTGTTTTGCTTAGTTCAAATAAACTATAATTTCATCTTGCATTTCTCTCCTTGATTTTACATTAAGACATGATAACGTTTGATTGAGAAATTGACACGTCAGAGGTATTTATTAAACAATAAATAGCTTTCATTTTAATAAGATTTATTGATAAACTAGGTTTACTCCGTTGAAAGTTTTTCATTCTTTGATGAATCAATCTTTGATTATTACTACCAGAGATAATTATAGATCTTGATTAATAAGCAAAAAATCATATAGACCAGTGAATTTATACAATATTTAATCTATCGTAAACTTGTTTTTCTTCTCTAATAAGAGGGTCTCCTCATAATGACAGGTAATTTTTTTCTGTCATTATAAATGCTACTTGTCTTGATTATTATGATCTAAATATATTTTCTATTCTACATTTAATATAAAAAGTTGTTTAATTCTGAACTTTTCATACGAACATCATTATTAAGCAGTTTTTCAAAATGAATTTCAATATTCCTATTACTAACATTACTTTTCTCATGCAAAGATCAATTTCATACAATACCTATTCATTTCTATTAACTGAAATTCTTCCTAATATAATGCTTATCTGTTTTATACTTGGTTTCATTGGTTTCATTGGTAATATTTTTACATTTCTTCAACCTAATCTTCGTTGGAATAATTGTTGTATTTATATGCTATGTAGTTCTATTGTTGATATTATTTATCTAACAATTAATACTTTTCCAAGTTATCTTCAAACAATATATTTTATTTAAACTTCCATGGAATTTATCGTTTAATTTATGCAAATTGTATTATTTTCTTTACAGCTTTCTACCACAATTATTTATTAATCTTTTACTTTTAAGTATTATTGATCGATATGCTTGTACACGTGCTCTTACATCATGGGCTCATCGACTTAATAAATTAAAAATGGTTCCACGGCTGATTCTTATGATGATCTTTATTAGTGGTATTTTTTCAATTTATTCACCTATATTGGGTAATAGTGAACCTCTTTTATGTGGATATCATGAACAAAATATTTACGGTATATTAAGTATATTTTTTAATGGTATATTACAACCCATAGTAATATTAATATTTGTTCTACTTACATATCGAAATATTCGTCAAAGTCGTCAACGAGTAGTAAGTCAATACAGATCCTTTCCAATTGCATATAAGATATGTAGTTCTATTTATAGGGTGGAATGGTGAAATCCGGTGTAAATCGTTTTCGAAATCAATTTATTGTTATGATAATAACTCAAGTTTTAATTACAGCAATATTTTCATTACAATGGATGATTGTACAAACATATGTTTTATTCAATGCCAGTATAGAAACAAGTTTTGATGATCTACTTATGATGGTTATATTATTTACTTTTAGTAATAACATTTATCCATTTAATAATGTAAAATCATTCTATTTTTCAATATTAACATCAAAATCATATCGACAAACATTTGTAAAAGGTTTGAAGAAAATATTTTCTCGATAATGGCTTCATTAATATTAATTAAAAACAAATCATCACAAAAAAATTCTATAAATAATTGTAAATAAATTTTTTTCTGTATATGTTGTAAGTTTATACGTATTATTGTCAATTCTCCTCCTTTGATGTAAATATACTTTATTGTTGTAAACAAAATCTGTTTCTATTTTATGATTAGAAGAGTGTTAGTAATAAGAACTGATCGTCTCAGTATCGGTTTGTAAGAATGGAAGACTAACATGAAAGTCATCCACATTCATGTTCTTGTCCAAAGACGATGACATTGAGAACGTAAAAGTCGATAGATCATTTCAGCAAGTTCCATCAACGAAAGAAAACTAATACCAATCCAAAGACCAGTTTGTCCACCAACATTAGAAATCACATCAACTGCATACATTGTTGGTTGTTGTGAATAAACTTCTGTTCGAGTTGTTTCATAGGCAACTTCTAAAGAAACAAAACTGGATTGAATCTCAGACACATAGGATGTATTCCAGTCTTTAGGTAATGGTACTTGTGATGATTTAACAAATTGTTTAATATCATCTATCATGTAGGAAGGTGGTGCTAAGACTGAGGTTGATTTAACAATAAACTCAGAGTATGTGCACTCTAGTGTACAATCAGGACAATAAGTAGTCCAAATACTTTGTGTGTTCATAATTTCTGTTGCTGCTGCACCATAACATGGATTTGCAAAATCACAAAGTTCTATATTAATTGGTGTATTAGTATTAGGAAGTACAATTGTGCGACCAGACCAGCGATAAGGATTTCCACAACCACATTTTTTGTAACTGAAATAAATCACACATTCATATGAAGTTATAATATATCACATAACTTACGTATATGCTTGCATACAAGCAAAATAACATGGAAGTTGTGCATATGCATAATCAGCATTATTATATTGATTAAACATCGCTTGCATTCCAGGATCAACTTTATCGTTGCATGGTGTATAAGGTGCTGGTAAAAATAAATTAGTCTTTTTTGCATATCCTAATTTATGATGTTTTCCAGAACTAAGTAGCATTGCTGTCATCTCAATAATGGGCATCTGTACATTGTCATGTACTAATGTTACCATACCAATGCCTATGTATAAAAAGAATATTACTATTACGATATATAATAAAGAAATTATAATATTATGCTTACCATTTGATAAATATGGTACATATTGATGTTGATGTACATAGAAACTCAATTCAAGAAGACCACTAGCTCCATTATCAGCATTGTATTTTAAACCTGCTTGACCAGTAGATTTTAATAGAGCATTGAATGTATAGCAAAGACCATATAGTGATGACATAAACCAAGTGAAATTAGTTGTTGTACATGGCATATTATTATAATTACAAGACATCATTATTGATTCAAGTGAATAAAAATAATCATTTAAAGATTCATTTTGATTGAGTTTATAAAGTAGAAATTCTTGAATATAGGAAGCTTGTGTCGTAGTGAAAATAGTTGTATTAGTTGTATTTGTTATATTACGTGCATTTGTATAGTTTAAAAAAGGACTTATAAATCGATCATATCGTAATGGAGAATAATTACAAATTGTTACTGCAGGAAAAGCTTGAGGCCATTCAACAATAACTGTTACAGACGTTTGTGTTGAATATTGAAAATATGCAGTAATTGATTCAGTAACAAAATATATCATTGCACCAAGAAAAACTAATGATGATAGAATCCAAAATACACGATTATGAGTACTATGACTACGAGCAATACTTGGTATACCATGTGCTGTTGTGTTCAAACTGAATTCTTTAATAACTGAACCAGCTCGTTCACGTTTTTTAGTTGATACTGATGGTTTAGAAGTTATCGACCAGGCGTTTGTTATAGAATTCACTGTTTTGTGTGTTTTATTCATTTTACCAGTCCTATGATTGTTTTTTGGAATATCTATATAAGAAAAAACTAAGATTGATTGTTTGTGAACAAACTGAAGATTAAGAATCAGGGATCTCTAGGAGCAGTAGCGAAATATATTAGCTCTTATCAATATCGATGTCTATCACTATTCATTATCAGAGAAGCGAAAACTAATCGTATAAGAAAATAAATGGATATGGAAGATGAATATTATACATACTCACACGTATATTCTGACGTGTTTATAATAATATCGAGACAAGGTAGAAACGTACAGAAGTAGGACACTTGTGAAAGTAAATTATATCTATATGACTCAATAACTCCGTGAATTATTCTTCTATGCTGATTAAATTATGTAGTCACTGTAATCGGTCCAATCAATATGAATAGAAGTAATCTCTTCCAACTGTACCGTGAATAACTATCTAGGTACTACTTGAAATACACTTTGTTTTCGTATCAAAGAAGGATGAGTTAGCATACTATAGAGGGAATATTATTTTTCGGTGTAAGTCATTGTATAAACACAGAATGGATCATAAATAATAGTGTAGTAAAAAATTTGAGTATCACCACTTCAATTCGATCCAATGAACTGGTTTTTTGATTATCGGTAAAACTTTATTCAAAGTTATTTTTCATATGAATCATGTAAGCAAATATTACTCTAGTAATATTTACTTACATGATTCATATGAGAAAAAAACCATTAAATAAAGTGTTACCGATTAATCAAAACATCAGTTTATTCAACCGAATTGAAGAAATGATATTAAGGTTTCTTATTGCACTATTAGTTTTGGCACACTCTATATGTCAAATAAAAAATGCTTTGAAATATTAGTTGATAATACCTATTCTTTTCTTATACCTATAGTAATACTCACCTAAAGAAATATGACAGTGCAAAATGTTTAAAATAGCTTGATATTTTAAATTTTTTTATAAAAAACATGAATTGCGGATTGCATGATACACATCTTTTATAATAAAAAAAAAAAGTAGTACTCTGGAAATTGACAGTTTTGTTTTTATATCTAGCAACGTATTGTTGATTCGAGCAATCTATATGATTAACAAATTTCTTAAATTGAATAACAGAAAATGACTTGTAATGAATGAAAAAATAAAATATTTCATTTCCGTTCTATCCAACAATAATAAAAAAATATTCAATTCTTATTTTTCCTGTAAACGAGAGACGACACTTTTTTTCTACCACAGAATATCTACTTCTTTAATTGCTACAACTTATTATTTAAACTTGCAATTAGAAAAAAGTTTTTTTTATAACATATTGATTTATATTGCAAAACGAGAATTTGAATTTATTTCAAAAGAAAAAACATTAATCTTATTCATCGTGAGAGTGAGAATGTGGGTGTAGGCGTCGATAAAGAAAAGATAGTCAAACCCATCCACTCAAACCCACACCCGTATTTGAATTATAATTTTAATATTTAATAAATAGTTGATTTACCAAACAATGAGTTTAATATTAATTATTATTTACTCCATTTACTAATAATATGTATAGAAAATTGAGCAAATTTTATTGATCATTCACATAAAAACACGACCATTTTATTTTTATCTTTGTGTAATTTGCATATACGATTCAAAATAAAATGGTGTGAGATTTTTGTTGTGCATTATTTACAAAGCAAATATGTGTTTTTTTTATTAGTGCTGGTATCATCTCTTATCTTTGAAGAAAGTTAGAAAAAATGAATTCTTTTGTTTCTGCTCTTTGTATTCACCTGGCTTTTTAACGTACATGAAATGATACAGAGGACAAAATTCTATATTATGACTAATCACAATAAATATGAGAAGATAACCAATGACGCCATCAAAACATTAAAATAAACTGATTCTTATATAAATAATAGAGCTTATTCATCTCCTTCACCACTATCTAGTCCGTCGAAAAACTCACACAATAACTCTTTTATTATCATATAATACACGAAATGGAAACAATAACTAACGATAGCGAACGACGAAGACGAATGGTACAAGATTGTTTACTCATTTGGCTAGATGAGTCTATGGACGACACAAACAAAGACTACAAAAATATTTTGACACAAATACGAATCAATATCGACAATGTAAGCGTCTTTACGCAGAGAGATGAATGCGTCGATTTTCTTTCCGATGCTCAAGACATCAAGTCTTTTCTCGTTGTCAAGGATACTATAGCTCAACAAATTATGCCCTTCATCAATGACATCACTCAACTGAATAATGTTTACGTCTTCAATGATATTGAAATCCTACATGAAGCATGGATAAAAAAATGGGATAAAATCAAGAGCGTTCATACCAATGGCAGTGACTTATGTTATCATATAATACACGAAATGGAAGCAATAGCTAATGGCAGCGAACGACGAAGAAGAATCGTGCAAGATTATTCACTCATTTTGTTAGATGAGTCTATAAACGAAACAAATAAAGACTACAAAAATATTTTGACACAAATACGAATCAATATCGACAATGTAAGCGTCTTTACGCAGAGAGATGAATGCGTCGATTTTCTTTCTGATACTCAAGACATCAAGTCTTTTCTCGTTGTCAAGGATACTATAGCTCAACAAATTATGCCCTTCATCAATGACATCACTCAACTGAATAATGTTTACGTCTTCAATGATACTGAAATCCTACATGAAGAATGGATAAAAAAATGGGATAAAATCAAGAGCGTTCATTCCAGTAGCAATGACTTATGTCAAGCATTACAACTGGATGTCAAACAATGCAGTCAAGACTCTATTGCTGTGAGTTTTGTCACAGTAGATGAAATGGCTTCAATTGATAACTTGAATCAGTTGGAGCCAACTTTTATGTACACCCAAATATTCAAGGATATTCTTCTTGATATGGAACATGGTACACAAGCCATCAAACAATTTACTGCTTACTGCCGAAATAATAACAGTGTGTCACCAATCTATATTGACCGTTTTGAGAAAGAATATCGTCCTCAATTAGCTATCTGGTGGTATTCTTTCCCATCCAATATCTTTTCAATACTCAATTATGCTCTTCGCTCTATGAAAGGCGACACTATCATAAATATGGGTTTTTTCATTCATGATCTGCACCAACAAATTCAACAACTACACCAACAACAGCTTAATAGTTATCATGGCAAACTATTCATAGTTTACCGGGGACAAGGTTTATCCAAAGCGAATTTCGAAAAACTCAAAAACACACAAGCTGGTTTGATGTCTTTCAATAACTTTTTATCCACTAGTACCGAGCAAGACATAGCTCTCGGACTTGCTTATAGTGCGTCAGAAAATGTGGACATGGTTGGCATTTTCTTCGTAATGTCCATTGATCCTTGTATTAAATCAGCACCATTTGCCTCCATCAAAGAAGAGAGTTATTTTGAGGGAGAAGATGAAATTCTCTTCTCAATGCACACTGTGTTTCGGGTGAGTGCAGTTAAACAAATGGACAATAACAATAAACTTTATCAAGTTGAACTAAAACTAACATCCGATGATGATCAACAATTACGACTACTTACTGATCGAATAGGAGAAGAAGTTAGTGGTGGTACTGGATGGCAGAAATTGGGTAACTTATTACTTAAAATCGGCCAGTTTAATAAAGCTGAACAGCTTTATAAATTATTACTCGAACAGACATCTGATAAGAGTGAAAAAGCATATTATTATGGTAGTCTGGGATATGTTCATGCTAGCCAAGGTGAATATGAAAAGGCCATTTGTTATTACGAACAAGGACTTGAAATTATACAAAAAATTTACACTTCAGATCATCGTGATTGGGCTACTTCATACAACAACATCGGTAGTGTGTATGACAAAATGGGAGAGTACTCGAAAGCGCTTTCATTTTACGAAATAGCACTTGAAATTCAACAAAAAAATCTCCCTTCAAGTTATCCTCATTTGCGCAGCCCATACAGCAATATTGGTACTGTATATCACAAGATGGGACAGTACTTGAAAGCACTTTCATTTTATGAAAAAGCTCTTAAAATTGCGCAAAAAACTCTTCCTTCAAATCATCCTGATTTGGCTACTTCATACATCAACATCGGTAGTGTGTATGACAACATGGGAGACTACTCGAAAACAGTTTCATATTACGAAAAAGGCGTTAAAATTCTGCAAAAAACTCTTCCTTCAAATCATCCCGATTTGGCTAATTCATACAGAAACATCGGTAGTCTATATAACAAAATGGGACAGTACTTGAAAGCACTTTCATATTATGAAAAAGGCGTTGAAATTTTGCAAAAAACTCTTCTGTCAAATCATCCCGATTTGGCTAATTTATACCACAACACCGGTTTGGTGTATAGTAACATGGGAGAGTACTCGAAAGCACTTTCATATTATGAGAAAGGTCTTGAAATTGCGCAAAAAACTCTACCTTCAAATCATTCTCATTTGGCTAATTTATACAACAACATCGGTAGTGTGTATGACGATATGGGAAAGTACTCAAAAGCACTTTCATTTTATGAAAAAGCTCTCGAAATTCGACAAAAAAGTCTTCCTTCAAATCATCCTGATTTGGCTGCTCCATACAATAACATTGGTGGTGTGTATGACAACATAGGCGAGTACTCGAAAGCACTTTCATTTTATGAAAAAGTACTTCAAATTCTGGAAAAATCTCTGCCGTCAAATCATCCTCATTTGGCTACTTCATACAACAACATCGGTTTGGTGTATAACAACATGGGAGAGTACCCGAAAGCACTTTCATTTTACGAAAAAGATCTTGAAATTCTGCAACAAAGTCTTCCTTCAAATCATCCTGATTTGGCAACTTCATACAATAACATTGGTTTGGTTTATAGCAACATGGGAGAATACTTGAAAACACTTTCATTTTATGAAAAAGCGCTTCAAATTCTGCAAAAATCTCTGCCTTCAAATCATCCTCATTTGGCTGGTTCATACAGCAATATCGGTACTGTATATATCAAGATGGGGGAGTACTTGGAAGCACTTTCATATTATGAACGTGCTCTGGACATCTCGCAGCACGCATTACCTCCAACTCATCCTAATATTAAACATTTGAAAATGAGTATTGAAATTGTAAAAAAGAAATTGTATAAAGAATATTTCATAAATAAATAAAAGAATGTTTTGTCCGCTTATTTTTGAATTAATTCTATTTTTAGTGTCTCGCACACGTGTACAGAGAACAACTCTGGAAATAATTAAAACGTAATGGATAAAGACGACTTGTAGGATAATACACATACATACATATCTGTATAAATGACCTTCTCAGACATATTTACGTTTCTAATTCTTTACAAGAGTATTTCCTATAATAAATAAAGAAGAAAAAAAAATATTACCGTAAATATTGGCCGTGAACTAAGACAACCTTAAAAGAACAACAAATCGGGAAAAATGAAAAACGAGTAACTTAGATGGAATTGAATTGAGTTGAATTGTAATAGGGTGAGTGTGCGTATGGATGTGAGTGAGGGGATGCATCAAATTTTGCTGAGAGATGCTGAAGTACAGCTGAAGTGTTGTTGTGCTGAAAGGTGCTATGATACTCATATAGTTTTGAAGGTACCATATTATCTGAGCTTAAAACTACTGATGACCGTTAAATATTGTCATTGAAGTTTTTTACTAAAATAAAGTTAATTTTCTAAAATAACGATTATTCTTAAAGTTTGATTGAAGATTTTCGGGGATGAGGAATCCGAATCGATAACTGGTTTATCAAAATTAGTGAACTTGGAACTTATACTAGAAAATTTTATCCTGCTGAGATTCTGAAAGTTACAAACTTCGATAAATCAGTAATCGATTCGGATCCCTCACCCCCGAAAATCTTGAATCAAACTTTAACAGAAATCGTTATTTTCGAAAACAAACCTTATTTTAGTGAAAAAATCAACTGACAATATTTAATGATCATTAGTAGTTTTAATCTTAGATTCGGTTTCATAAAAACATGTTTCATACTCTGAAATGAGGCTTTAAACATCTTCCATCTTTCTATAGCATAAAATTAATTTAACTGTAATCTAAAAAAATTCTTTTTGATAAGAAGTTTAATCTCTCAGAAGATTTAATTTATAGATACATATAATGTCAAATATAATATAAAAGTAAAACCATTTAATTTAATTTTTAATTAAATAAATTAAAAAATGGACATCATTTATATTTGAAATAAATTAAATTATCAAAAAATTAAATTATTTTTAACGACAAATTGTGCAACAAATTATTTATATTTCTTACTCACAGTTTCTATATACAGAAGAATCTTTTAAACTTTTTCTTTACTTAGTTTGCGAAGTTATTTCTTTTTGTAACACATGTTTTCTGCATTTTATCGTTCTGTTATCGCTATCGTAGAAAGAAAGAAATGTGTTTTTTTTCTCATCATCCAAGAAAAGAACACGTAATTTATTTGGTCGATAAGAAAGGTCAACGCATGTCTAAAAACACAACAGAATAAACGAGCAGAAAAAGAAAGTATGTATGTACTGTTTTACCTTCGTATTAAGGCGATATTCATTTCAGCTTGATATAGAAGATGAATTTTAGAGTTGCTTAACGATGTGATGTATAGAATAACTCTGGTCTGATATTTTTAGTCGTAGCTACAGATGTAAGATGCCGGCAATGCAAAAATCGAGTAAAAATTTTTATTCTCAATTTTTATACACTATTCAATAGAGTTTGAGCTGATGACCACGAAAAATTATGTTTTAATCTTATATAATAAATACTTCTGTCCGATCGAAAAATACGAAATACACATCTTTTCCAAAATATGCAAAATCTTTAACTTTGTTCTTTTTTTCAACTTTGGAGAATAATTTTTTCAAATTCGAAATTAACATAAAAAACTGGATCAAATGATGTATATTTTAAGTTAATTTATAGACTTTCATTTTTTAAAGTATCATCGGAGCATTGAATTTGTGGTATATGGGTGAAAAACTGAAAGTTCTGAAATTGACTCAAAAGATACATTATCTTATTCAGTTTTTATGCTAATTCCGAATCTGAAAAAGATCTATTTTTCTCGAAAAACGACATCCTTCGTATATTTCGTATTTTTCGACCGGACAAAAGTATTTACTACGTAAGGTTGAAAGATAGTTTTTCGTGGTCATCAGCTCAAACTCTGTCGAATGATTTTACTCGATTTTGAATTGCTACCACCTTACAATTGTAAGTCTTAGAAGCCTTTATTCCTCTATTAGTAATCTATGCTATCACGACAAATAGCCAACTTTGTAAAGCCACATATAAATCGCCTTTACTAACACCTGCAGAAACATATCGTATACTTATAGTCATACGATAAAATACTTTCCTGAACCTATATCTATTTCGAAAATACATCAAAACAGAAGAAAGTATTTGAGTAAAACTATCATTTCTAGAAATATCAGGAATGCATTAAATATCGATTAACGACTAAAAACATTACATTCACCAGCAGATCATTTTTTCCTAAAATCTAGAAAACCTCTTAAAATGTTTCTTTTTTTTCTTCTTCGGAAGCTAGGAAATAGATATATTGGAAAACAGAAACAACAAATAACGGTTACAGAACAAATACAAGCGTATAATCAGAAACAAAGAACGTCCTGAATAAAAATCGAATTAGAGCAAAATGTCCAAATCCAATGTTTTAATTGCTGGTGCCGGCATTGCTGGACCAGTTCTCGCCTTTTGGCTTTCAAGAGCTGGCATGAGATCAGTAGTAGTCGAACGCGCACCAGGATTGCGGACTGCTGGACAAACAATAGACATTCGCGGTGTAGGCTTCGAAGTGGTACGTAGAATGGGCCTCGAAGAACTTATTCGCAGTAGAACCACTCGTGAACAAGGTATCGCAATAGTAGATGCATCAAATCGAAAACGGGCGGAATTTCCTGTAAGTCTACCTGGCGGAGGTCAGGGCTTCACTTCAGACATCGAGATAGTACGCGGTGAACTCGTTAAGATTCTCTATGAATCAACCTGCAACAGCAACAATGTAGAGTATGTTTTCGAAGATTATATCACGTCTATTAAGGATCACGGCGATCGTGTAGAAGTTGGTTTTGCAAAGGGCTCTGTCCGTGAGTTCGATCTAGTGGTTGCAGCAGATGGAATGCACTCGAAAACACGTCGTCTTGTGTTCGATGGGCAGTCTTCGCTTCGTCCTCTTGGCCAGCACGTGTGCTATTTTACGATTCCATATCACGAATCAGATGGTACTTGGGCACGCTGGTACAATGCACCAGGTGGTAGAACTATTTTACTGCGGCCAGATAATCTTGGAACAACTCGTGCACTTCTGGCAATAACGAGCAATTCTTCAGAAGCATACGAAAAACTTGATGTAAAGGCACAAAAGGAAGCGATACACAAGATATTTGCCGATGCTGGATGGGAAGCTTCTCGTGTTCTTTCAGCGATGGATGCAGCGTCTGATTTCTATTTACAAGAAATTGCGCAAATCAAGATGGAACATTGGTCGAAAGGTCGAGTTGCTCTCTTAGGTGATGCAGGATATTGTCCTTCGCCTATAAGTGGTATGGGAACAAGCCTAGCAATCGTCGGAAGTTATATTCTCGCAGGAGAGCTTGCTCGTTGCAAAAATCATCAGGATGCATTTGCTTCTTATGAAAGTCTTATACGTCCCTATGTCGACAAGGCACAAAAGCTACCTCCTGGAGCGCCGCAAATTGCTAATCCTCAGACTCAATTTGGGATTTCCGTGCTCCGTAATGTGCTGGGCTTCGTTTCAAAGTCAGGTTTAGCACGATTGTTCGAAAAATATTTTGCGACACCGCCTGCGGATTCTATCAAATTGCCAACCTACGAGATATATGAAGCTACGACTCATGGTGCCAAGCCATCAAACAAATGAAGACATCCATAAAAGAGTACCGAGAGCGTCTTGTCTGTTTTATTAATGAACTCTGAAGCACTCTAATTGTACTCGTTAATCATTTTAATGCTTTATAGATATAATTTGTTTTTTGTTTTGCATTTCTACTTTTTATGTATTACATAAGCACATTAATAAAAGATTAGATCACTTTT